CCTAGCCTGATGCCTTATGCAGAAGTAAATACAAGGTGGACTGTGAGAAAATGGACTGATTCAAGGAGAAACATGTGACATTATAAATAATAGCTTTAGAACAACCAGCTCTCTGATATCATCTTAAAGATCAAATTCACCTGTAGAATTTTATAACATTTTATAATTAATTCTCTAGCTAAGAATTTTCTTTTTCTACTCACATACCTGAAAACCAGATCTCTTTTATTCCAGACAGGAAATTATTCATTTGGACTTCAACTTATAAGCAGAATAAATAGGTTATGGTTGGCAAAGTAGTGGTCCTTTATTCTTAGAGCAAAATATAGCAAAATGGAGTTGAAGGCATAACTACAGTCAAGTAAAATGTTAGAATGACTTTTTTTGGTGGACAATTTTTCTAATGACTACCTCATTATTCCTACTTGCCAAATCTAGAAACTAAACGAGAACTGTCTTCGTGAAAGTGAAGTTAGAGCTACATAGCTACAGTCACTCACTTAGTGACAGGTTCCCAAACTGACCTAAAGACACTTTCTGAATGAAAGAGTCCCTGTGCCACACTTTTTCTCACCTCCCCTTTTAAAAAAATACAGTGATAAAAGATTCTTTCAGGACACAGATTCATACTCTTTCAGCTCCTGCTATTTAAATGTATCTCCAGGTCTGTCCTCAAAGTGCCCCAAATATGGGCTGTAGCAAGATATCAAAAGCATCACATTCCACTGCTTCTGAATTTTGTATGTCAACTTCATGAAAAGGAAATTGAAAAATAAAGCTTCACTTGAAGGGGTTCTTTTTAGCAGACAGAGAAGGTAGATGCTGTTTCATGGTCTGGACTCCAAGACCACAGGCTTGTAGTCATGCTACAGTGCATAGACTTGCACTGCTAACACCTGTGTGCACAAAGGTGACAAAAATAATACCAGCTGAGACTTGACACTAAATTGTTATCTGCAATCCTGAGTTAGGTGATACGTTAAGTTAGACTGAAATCAAGGTCACCATTGTCTTGCTGTGTTTCTTCCACCTATGGACACTGAGGTATGCTTTTTATTACGCAGAGAGCAGAACGATTTCATCACCAAGCAATGCTTCTTAAAACTTCATTCAAACAAGAAATCATATGGTTGCAACTAAAACCTATAATTCACCTTGGGAAATCAGCTACTCTCCTACCTACTCAGGCTTTATTAACCCGTTAGCTGCCTTTTTTAAGGGGTACAATATGAGAAATTTAGCAGTGAAGAGCACATGTTGCAAAGGTGTAACCTCCACCTGGAAGGATACTCAAAGACAACAAGAAAATGTGTAGGCACATATGGCACAACAATAAGCTCCATAAACTACATGTAATTTTGATTGTTCATGTCAGTATCAATGTACCTAGGCAAAATTGACAGCTTCAAAAATCCAGATGGTTCTGCCTAATATCTAAACCCTGTTAAATAATATCCACCTTGTTTTGATTAAGTTTAACCTATTTTATTTCCCCTATTATCATTTAGGAAGTCAACAGGAATGCAACAACTGACTTCAAGAACACAAAGCACAAGAAGAAGTTAAGAGATGTCAATAAGTTCACAGTAGCATCTTAAATTGCTACTCTACACAAGACCTCAAGGAAAAAAATCCCTTCAAGAATTATATATTATATATGTACACAATGGCCTGTAAAGAAGGATTTGATTCTACCTAACACAAAGAAAAGAAGTCATTTTATGTAAACTCTTAATAAAAGGGACCATGGTCTGAAGTACCACAGTTACTGTCCCTGCTGGATTTACTCTGCAGTCTCAGTATAAATAGTCCCAGAAGCTAAACTGTAATTAGAAGTCATTTAAACACATTTGAAAATTTCTTTATATGAACTACTTCCTTTGAAGAGGAACATCAATATTTCAAACACATAAAATTATTCTTTTTTCCACTAAGTTGAGCCATTACTCAATACAGTGTTATTAAGAAGGTTTTTTTTTCCCAAATATATTGTGAAGTGTAGCATTGCATTTCAGTAAATTTTGCTCTTAAATAATTTAGAACAAAATAAAGCCTATTAGAACAAGCGCTATTTTGATGAATTTAATATACATCTATTAGTTAAGAAGCTTTCTTATCAAATCTTACTTTTTCATTTAGCAATAAATGGTGAATTTGAGTTCTTCATTTAGAAAACAATTTTATTCAATTTTTAAATTTATGTATTCTTTATTACTTAAAACTCCTAAATATATTAAGTAGCTCTACTTAGAGTATAATTATTACAGAGAAAGGTTTCCCTAAAATTTCCTCATAGTTTACTGTTTTGAATTCCTAAAACACTTAAGTAGGTCTACTGCACAGTACAATGGAATAAAATATGTTTTCCTTGGCATTTGAGTGCACATATTTTGAATACTGTGAGGGATTTGGATGAATGATTTTGATGAATGTTGACTGGCAGATGAAAATTCAGTTTTCTAAAAAGAATTTGACAAGTTTGCATTTGCTTTTGCTCTGTTTTAAATGATATACAAAACGTTCTGAAGATCTGAAGATCACGTTCTGAAGAACGTGAGGTAAACACATTCACATTCCCCTATTCCTTCCTTCACTAAAGCTTTCCAGAGAACTTAGTTTTGGATAAGTTAGGACAGAAGAGAATTTAAACAAAAGTCCTTTTCAAGTCAGGTAATGTCCCATCACCATGGTGGAGAATGTGAAGTCTCTCACACATCATTACTGTGTTTCTTAATATCTTCCCCAGATAATCTTTCTAATTTTGTTATCATTTGTAACCCCAATTCAAATAAAAAATATAGAAGGAAATCCCCAGCCCAATTTCAGTGGAACTGGGATATTACCCTGCAGAAAGAGGTTATTTCAAAATAAGTAAAATATTTGATTCCTTTTTGAATTTATTCTAGAGGTTTTAAATGCAAAAGTCTCCTCCAATACTGCTGTAAAGTCTTCTAGTTGTTATCTTCTCACTTCAGAATTATCTTATCTCTGCTTTTATGCAGATTTTACACTGGACTTTTTATTCAAAATCAAAGCCAAACAATCTCCCCACCAAAGGGAGAAAATGAAAATCCTGCACAAGTAAAAAAATGTCAGGTTAGATTCTTAGTAATGGATCTGGGGACTGGATTCAGGGTGAAAGATGCTGTATTAATTTATTTCTATTACCATACAAAAGTACATCTTACCATCATTTGCCAGAAGTAAAAACACTTATCTAACAAAATGGAAAAGATGGTAGCACTTCTAATGGAAAAGATGTCAGAATTGATTATTTTCCTCAGGGAGTATGAATCAGAGGATGGCATTTCTCAAGAGCAGAAAATTGTGATAGATAGAGTCATGCCCAGCATCTAAATCCAACTGTGAAGTTTTAGGAGAAAATTATCTAAGCCAGAGAGAACAACAAAAAGTCCTGATACACAGCCAAATAAAACACCACTGGGCAGACAAGGTCATCCTGAAGGTAAAACTTTAGCAAAGGTGGCAGAAAAGGCAAGGACGCTCATAACAGCAGTGGGGAAACATATACTGCGGGTTTATTTTTCTCATTATGTTTGGAGACAGGTAGGAAGACAGCAACTATTTTCAGTGCTCGTCTGTAACGGGAAGTCACTGACATCATCCGTGTTCAGTAGAACTAGTTGCAAAGTAGGACCTTGCAAGAGTGGCAGAGATGCGGGAGTCAGACTCCTGCCTCAGAAACATACAAGTCATATGATGGTTATTAGTGAGCCTGTGATCTTGTATCAAATCTAGCTACAGCGGGACGTATTTTTCACATGAGGTCTTCGGCTATTTAATCAGATAATTAAATATATTTTTTGCAAAATCACTGTTTTTCAACAAATAAAAACCAAAAATCAGAGCACAAACTCATCGCACAGTGCTCTATCTGTCAGTAAGTACAGAGTAGAATAAGCTTTTGATCCCTATACTTCAACTGAAAGTAATGGAAATCCTCCATTCAGAGACATAAATACCTCTGTGTAATATATATTGTACCATAAAAATCTATGCTTGAGAGAAAAGGAAGATGCAGTGCATTTAAGTGTGCTGGCGTTTCTGTTTTGCTGCACATCCTTTAAAAACTATGGGCTGGGTTGATTTTTTATTTTTTTTTTCCCCTGAGGAAAATACTACTGGTACACATTAAAGACAGCTGTATTTCTAATTCCTAGAAGAAAAAGCTTGTCATGAACATACTGAGCTCCAATACAAAGCATCAGACAAACTGCTCTGAGAGAAGCAAACTCATCATCCTGCACATCCCTACGTGCAGGAGCACATTCTCCTCTTGCACTCCCCTTTACTACTGCATTCAGCATGTACAGCATTGGATAGCTATTTTTTTACTTTCAAACACTCTTAAAAAGTTAGCATTTACACTGAGACAGAGCAAAACCTGCAGCTCAGATCCAGCAGTCCCTAGCCCTTTGGGAAAAAAAGACAGATAAATGCAAGTCTGAGCTGCAGAATTGGCTTATTTTTAACTCTAAATCACAGTATCTTCCTCAGTCACAGCACAGAATTAAAGTATGTATTTGTTAGCACAGGTTTTGGTCACTTAAAGCATTATACTTGGACAACTATGTACTTGTTTGCGCTGTGAAGACAATTAGCACAAGAAGAAAGGACAGATGTTTAATGCTTTTGATATGTAAAAATCAGAAAAAAATGCAGGATACTGTTATTTTTATGTAAGTTTCTCAGATTTACTCTGCAGTCCTATTACTCTACGCTCTGACCACAGCTATGTGAAATTTCATACAAACAGAACTCTTTATCTTTACAATCTGAAATACTGGGTTAGGATATAGTGCAAATCAAAGGCAGGCTGCACACTGGGGCTGTTTGGACATGATCAGTGTAAGGGCTTGTGTGACAGCAAGAAAAAAAAAATCAATGACTCAAGTATTATTTCAAACATCCACAGATAAAAATATGCTCAAGTGTTTAAGCAGAGAACCCTAAAAAAAGAAGTGTAGACGGGAACTTACGTCATGACCAGTGTCTCATCTCCAGGTTCGCTAAGTAATCCATCTACAAAGACTGAAGTGCTTGTAAAATTATGTGTACTCCAGGTCTGGCCTTCATCTATGCTGAACCTGTTAAAAAATAGAAGTGGTTTCAGTTGCAAGTAGTATTTAAGTCAGAATTCATTGAAAAAATAAAAAATCCCATAACCACTAAACCCCAGGATTTACAATCACTGAAACACAGTACGCATGAGTGGTGTATCTCATTAATGTTCCAGGGTTTCCCATCTTTATTAGAAAGAACATAATAAATTCGTGACAACAACGGTAATTCTCAGGCAAATGAAAAACAATGTCTGTCAACAAACAATCCTGCTAATTTGTAGGTTCAAGAGTCAGTTAATTTACACTTCATTCTCTCGAAGTCCCTGAGCTGGAGACCTGTTAAGCAGAGGTCAGTAAAACATTAAGTATGCAGAACAGCTCAAGTGCTAAAACACAAGTGCTAAAACTGCAGGCACCAAGATGATGGCCCCTTGCAGCTATGACAATCTGCACAAAAATTTTCAATAGATATTCAGCAAAGTTCAAAGTTCAGCATTCAAGTACTCTGTGTACCTAAAAATTATGACTAGAATTCTTTTGTCTTGAGTACTTTTCAGGTCTTTTTAATACCACGATAATGGCGGTTTTCAGTCTAGTTAATGAAGCATATAGCCAAGATCCTATTAGAATAAGCAGCATTATGCAAAAATGAGCCTTGTTACGATCAATCTTCTGATCACTTGCACCTTCTATTTCCTAACCTAGCGGGAGGTGTCCCTGCCCTTGGCAAAGGGGTTAGAACTAGATGATATTTAAAGTCCCTTCCAACCTAAACCATTCTATCACTATCTATCACTCTTTTTTTTTTTTCTTTTTTTTTTTGGACCGCAAAGATGATAATTTTATATGCCATTACACAAAGCTATCATGTTTTGCTTCACTATCATTCAGTTTAAAATTTGTTATTTCACAACAAAATTATTTGCAACCAAACTTTCCTGTCAAACAAGAGAAGGCCGTTTTCTGTAGTTGCATCATATGACAGGATCTACACAGAATGTGTAGTATAATTAATTAGTGTAGGAAATTGTCAGAAGAACTGGGCTTCTTGCATATGGTACTATACAACTTTTATGCACAGAGAAATTCTTTTCCCATTGGCTCCAAAAGACTATGTTGCATTGTTCTTGCCAGAGCAATTCAGGGCTATTCTCCAGCATTCTCATTACTGTGGCTGAAGAGAACAGAACTTTACCACAGTATGAAACAACTATTGTGACCTAAGGCATTATAGGGAGAACATTACTGCCATATGCGGCAGGTGCAAACCAGTAGCAGATAATGACCATGATAAACATGGCTTGTACCACAGAGTTCCAGGATAGCAGTTTAAGCAAAAATATCTGTACTGATGTTAGAAAATCTTGTTATGATTAATTCATTATGTCATGGTACCAATACCACCAAGAAGAAATCTTTAAGAAAACATCTTTCTGAATTCTGTCAAATTAATTAATGTTAAATTAAGCAGATTACACTTGCATCTCATATGTGATTACTCTGAAATGTTCATCTTAAAATCTGAACTTTGTCTCTTGTATTGAATACACAATAGCTTGCTTTAATTGACTGTAGGATTACTTGAGTATTTTCAGTGGGATAGAGGTATCTTTGATGGCCACAATAACTCCACCATGGTCCAGGTACAAGATGTGATGCTCCTCTTCAAAGACCTACAAATCAGAAAACGAAAAGTCCAACTAAGCAAATGCAGAAATAAAATGTATGAGAAAACCATTATTAAAAATCTTACATGTTTCATAATGTCCACACTGTAAACAGAAAAGGACATACAAGTCAGTTTAACTCTTACACTTCTCCCAGTTGTAAAAGAGAAGAAAGCTAAGCAGGTGAATCAGAAAATGTTCAGGTTCAAATCAGTCAGATTAAACTGTCTAAAGTGATTTTAGCCCTACCTTACATTCCTCTCAGCATGCCTTCTGCATTCTTTCCTATTATATATCACCAGGTGACCTATCACCTTACTTCAGTATTTGCCATATTCTTTATATCTTGCAGAATGAAATGCTTTGTAATCTAATTCTAAGAAAAATAGGAAAACCGCCACTGTCTGGGGCTGTCTTGCAAGTTCTTCAGACTCTACCGAAGTTGAAATAATTGGTGCCACTGTTTTCTGCATTTGCAATGTCAATGATTTATTTAAATTCAAACTTTGTGATCACATAAGGAGGCTGCTCTGAGCTCTGAACCAAAATACACGTAATATTGATTTAATGGTTATAAAGGAGTCAAAATCTCCTAAATTATTTTCATTCGTTTGTCTAGAGGTCATCAGTAGTACTAAAATAAATGAATAAGAAATATCCTATTTTCTGCATCTGTTATCTGTTTTAAGCCGACGCAGTGAAAGTTCATTTACCATAAGATCAAGTGATAAAGTGAGAGTTTATGCACACACATAGCAGTTCATAGAACACAGAGCCTCCTACACACTTTGACAAAGCCAAAGAAAAAAACATAAAGGCGAGCTCTACTTTGCCTTGTGAATGAGAAAATGCAGACAATACACAATGGTTTTTTAATGACAGTGCTAAAGGATACACTTAGGAGATAAGTAAGACTGAACCAAAGAGAGAAAAAGTCTTAATCATACAGCACATCCACCATTGCTTCACAAATAGCAAGCACTTAATTTGCCTTTAGAATTCAATATTCCCCTCATTTCGTAAGAACACGTGTTATGGGATTCCTTGGGTTTCGAGTGTTTGATTGGCTTTTTGGTGTTGTCAGTTTACTGACAGAACCCCGATAGGGGACATTTACAGTCCTATCTACTTGTTACATTCAACTACACATTTTAGAAGATAATTCAGTGAAATGCGAACATTCTTTTTAGATGTACTTCAAGAGGATGAAATCGCTTCAACTCACATAAGCCAGCAGAGTTTCAAATTTCATTTGAACCTTTGCTCAAATCAAAATGAAACAGCAGTGTCAGAACAAGAAGTTTCTAAAAGCTTCACCTTCATACAGAAGATAAAGGAAGATGCTGTCTGCATGACTTCATCCAATTTAGGGTTTCTCAGAAAAGCATCATGGCAATTCCTAGTGCACCTTTTCACTACACCAGGTTTACCCATTCCCGTGTAAACTATGGCATGCTATAAGGCACAGCAGACCCATTACAGGTATATAAATGTCATATTTGTATCATGCTCTTCTTGCAAGCATTTCAAATACATTCTAACTAAAAGATAAGTATCAATTCCTGCATTTTCATTTAATAATGAATTCATGAAATCAGAACCTGAAAACAATTGATAGGCATGTTCATATGACAGCCTAGAACTATGACTTCACTAAATGACATCAGGTAATAGATTCATAATGATACTTACTAGTAGCGAACAGAACTAAATTAATATAACCTGTTTCTAAATCTTTCCTTCTTTTGTAATGTTTTGGATAAATTTATGTGCTTTATAATCATAAAGTCAACTTCTGTCTCTTTGTTTGCTCCTGTGTCTATTGCAACTGCAGCAGGTTATCTGTTGGGAGCAATTAAGAGAGCTCCATAAAATAACTGAACAAGTTTAAATGAGAAATTTATTGCACACAATTTTACTCTGACATATCTTAGAAGTAACCAAAAATACTCGCTTGCATCTCACAAAGTGACATCCATTTCTAAATCCAAATCTGTAATTTTCCTACAGCAGAAGGAGGCAGCTGGACCTTCACAGTGGTGAGAAGCTGGGATTGCATCCTTTACCATTGTGCTTAAAAGTATTACCACCACCCCTTAAGATGTCTGCAGAAAAAAAAAAGTAGTGTTGCTTAAACAAAGGTATTCCATATTGCTTTGATATGAAAGGATTTGACACAGATAAAGAATATTCCTACAACTGAACCACTGAACTGGAGCTCCAAAGATCTAGGTTCACTTCCTAGGTGCACTGTGTAACCTTAGAAGGTTAGTACAGTACATTGTGGCTGCACTAGATCTTCCATAGCAGATCAAACATGAAAGGCTTTCCTGTTCTTGTCTTTACTTTTATTTCACAGAATCACAGAATCTGAATTTCAGCCATTTCTTCTGAAAGCCAGAACTTTCTCTTACTCTGCTATGGTGCAAATGAAGTTGAAATACCATAAATGTGAAGAGAAATAGCTTGTTTTAAAAAGCACATCCTTAACATCTAGAAGAGCATCCTAAAATTTTGAAAATCAGGACTCAAAACAGGCTCACAGGGAAAAACAATGTTTAAAATCTGTATGGTCTGTAATTGTGTACAGAGGCAGTCCATTTCTCCCAGGATGCAAGATTTATTTATTTGACCCAATATCACATTCATTAACACATTTTATCAATATTGTTTTCCTGGTACAATAGATGGAGAAATCTTCCAATTAGACACATCTGTCCCACGAGTTCACTTTAGGCATACTTCATGGTTCACTTAAGATGATCTAAGCTCACACAGTTCATGATAATGTCAAGGTTGGGTTCCCTTCTCTTGCTTACATTCCAGGTCAGGCTGCTGCATGGACATATAAGCTACCTGTCAATCAGCTCCTAAATCCGTGCTGCTTACAGTACCATGTTGTACATACAGTACACACCACAAATTTCATTCTGCTTTCAAATGTTATTCAGTAATGTTTTCAAAAAACACTAATAAGCAAGTCAGCCATCATGCAATAGAAAGGCAGTAGAACAATTGTAACCAGCCCACACTGTGGTTACTTAGAATCTTTGCTTTTACTTTTTCATTTACTGAAAGTATTTACTTAATTCTATGGAACTCTTTTTGGGCATTTTGATTTGTACCTATCAGTGCTAGCTGTGTTGTCTGCCATAGTAAATCACCCTGAATTCTCAAGTGAACGTACCATGTAAAAGCCATGGAAACGTGAGTTCAGTTGAAATCATTCCAAGTGTGTAAAACAGATTCAGACATTTCTGAAAAACACATTTTCCTTAATTTGAGGGTGAGCTACAAATATGGGGACTGGTCCCATTTACAAATCACAGACTGAATTTGAGTTAACAATGTGATGCTCTAGTACAAAAAAGAGATCTCCTCCTGAAGTGAGGTGATAGCCAAGATGTCAAGATATCAAGGGAAATCATTTCATTCTGATTAACAATTATAAAATTTATAATGCTGCATCCAATTTCTCCATTTTTCAAGAGAAGATTTTAGATAGTCTGATCAACAAACAACAAAAAGGAAGAGCAGTTTAGAAACTCCTTCCCTTAGGAAAAAAAGGCAGACTTGAAACTGGCAGGGAGGGGGAAAAGCCTGTGCTAGGGGTAGACATGATAATTGCCTTTCAACATCTGAAAGGTTATTTAAAGCTGACAGAAAACTTCAGCTCCCAAAAGACAGGAGGAAATCAGCTTACCTTGCAAAAAATTGTGGAACAGCAAGAACAACAAAAAGCAAGGATATGCAAAGCAGCTTATGTTAAATGTTAAAAAATCTATGAAGTGAAGTAAAACACCATATAGGAGCACAGCAGAATCTCCTACAGTGAAAGATTAAGAAATAGGCCTGGAAAATCTCTATTTAAGTTGTTTCTGGTACAACTGATGCTTCAGAGCAGGTGGTTGGATTATCTTTCACTTTCCTCCTAGGCCTATGAGTCCCAGTGCCAATATTGCTATTACTTCAGGAAAGCTTTTGCTCAATTCCTTGAACAGTCTTTTCCTCTGAGTTCTCCAAATTTACCTATGTTGTTTTTTTTTCACTCTACATAAGCTTGTGTATTTCTTCTCATAGTTTGTAGACAGCTCTGCAACCTCATGTATGGAATGTAACAAAGGTGATAGGGATTCAATAATCACAGCCTCAAAGTTTCCAAGGTAGAGACTTAAACCCACCCAAAGAACTGTAACTGAACATGAGCTTTGCCCTCCCTTCTGCCAGCACAGGAAAGCTGTAACTTTCTATCCAAATAATTCCTGTATCACTGATGACAAAATTCTTGTCTATTTTTTTTCATGAGTTTCAACAGAGAAAGGAAACACATGTAATGTATATATAGCAATCTATGTTTTTATTCTGATAGCAAATATTGAGTAAGCTCTTCCAAGACTTCACAGAAGTTTTAATTAAAATCAAGTGAGCAATGGTGGGTTTGATTTTGACTGTCACAATAAGGATCAGTTTGTGGCTGGTTTTACAGTTTGAATAGCCATCTTAAGGTCAAGTTCCAACACATATCATCTGTTGGAGTGTCTCAAAATAAAAGCAGCAAAATATGACTTTGATCTCCATCACTCCTTCCTTCTTATTTCTCACCCTATCAAAATTATGAAAGTCTGGGAAATGGTGACAATAAAACATGAGAGGCCTCTGTTAAGTATGAGATAGCACAGCACAGGCTGTAAATTCTGGAAGGCTTTCGCATTTAAACACCTATTTATCATCTGCTAGAATTCAAGAAAGAATTTGGCATAAAATCTTATCTTTCAAAACTTAAAGAACATTACCACGATAAAAATAATATATATATTTTTAAAAGTTCTTTTGCAGAGTATTAATGGCAATCTAAAACAGCAATATAAGAAAGTGTCTGTATTTACTCTTATGTCAAAGGGGCTGAGATTAATAACACTAGTGAGTGCATTTTTCCATTTACTTATTCTCGGATAATAATACAGCTTTTATTTCAGTAGAACACTAAAACGCTGTTTTAACTGAAATAAAATACTTTTTGATATAGTGGTAGTTTGAATGCTGTTTTTTCTTTTCTCTGGATATACATTAAAAGTAGATTACAGAACCTCCTCATGTCTTATTACTATTGTTATGGACATTTACACTCATAAAGAAAATATCATTGAGGCAGAGCAACTTAAAATGAAGTGAATTAGAAAGGTGTTAGTTTTAAATCAACACTATGCATTGGAAACATAAAACATCTGAAAATCAAATGTCATTTCAACCACTACAAGACTGGGATTTTTAAAAAATACTTCATATATTTAATCCTATAATTGATTAAATCATACTAAAAGACATTCAAAGGTTTACTACTATTTTTTTTTCAATCTCTTTTTGTGTTCTCATTTCCAACGGAAAACAAACTTTAAGCTTTAATAGCAGTTTTTAACTGCAAAGCAGAACAATTTTCTCCCTTCCTATACAAACCCCATTTTTCAGCACAGGATATTCATACTGCACGATTTAGCCCAAGTCCACCTCTTCATTAGCATAGGAAGATTACTGAAATTACAAAAAACCTAACTGGACCGCATGCTTCTTATGCAAGATATTAGAAGATTTGTAAAGAAACCAGAATATTTGAGTTTCAGGGGAATCTGACAGCCCAACCAATTTAGATCTTTGCAAATCACCTCCTTAATTTCTCAGTATCCACATCTTGCTTGCAAAATAATGCCCACCTGTCTCACAAGAGTTGGTGTATAAAGATAATGTATGCATAATAAAATCCAACATATTGGGTAAATTTAAAATTGCCTTAAATTATTTCAGTTTCCTACCTGGCGCCATGTCTTCCCACAGTCAGATGTGATGTACATTTCTTCTTTATACTCAACCAGCTGAGACCCCAGGTTACCTGTCCCAAAAGATAAGGAAAGAAGGGGGCACCCAATTAACAAGAGAGACTGGAAATAGTCCTGACAGCAGTCAGAGCGAGAACAAAACTCAGATGATGAGTGGTTTTATTTTATTAATTTTATTATCAACAGACATAGTCTCTTAAAAAAAAAAAAAAAAAAAACAAGCACATCTTATCTATTTAATCTATTTATTTATTTACTTAAACATTCCTAGTTGCACATAGGCAGGAGCAACGAGGCTTAATTCTGACACTAAAATGTGTATTTAGGATGTAAGTTCGAAATGTACATGAACTCAGTACCATACCTTAATCACATTATGTAAAATTATTCATTTTGAACTTGAATTGTTTAAAAAACAAAATGTTTTAAATGTAAGACTTTATGGAATGGTAGAAAATTGCTCTCTATAACTTCCTGAAGGGAGGTTGTAGTGAGCTGGGGGTCGGCCTCTTCTCTCGTGTCATTAGTGATAGGACCAGAGGGAATGGCTTCAAGCTACGGCAGGGGAGATTCAGGCTGGACATGAGGAAGTATTACTTTTCAGAAAGGGTGGTCAGGCACTGGAATGGACTGCCAAGGGAGGTGGTGGAGTCACTGAGCCTGGGGGTGTTCAAGGAAAGGCTGGATGTTGTGTTGAGGGACAGGGTTTAGTGGGAGCTACTGGGAATAGGTGAACGGTTGGACTGGATGATCTTTTAGGTCTTTTCCAACCTTGGTGATTCTATGATTCTATGATTCCATGAAAAATCCAGGATCTAGATAAGTATGTAAAACTGAAAACAGGGGTTATGATCCAAAAAGCTCTGTAAATGCAAAAGTCTAGAGCAGAATTACTGCTGTATTTAAGTATTCACCAGGAAGCCATGGAGTATTTTGACAAAATACACTGAAGAGTTGCAGCTAGCATTCAGATTACTGTGAAGATTACTGACTTTTCCATACAAAAGTCTTGAAACAAACTTTTAAATCAAGATCATAGAAGATGTAACCCCAAATCTCTATCTTATAACTTGTGTTTAAAACAGCAAATCATTAAATCACCAGTTCACAGAGTTATAGGGGAGAACCAATCATAGCTCCAAATCCTTCCTAAACAATGTCCCTTTAGGGGATTTTGATTTAAATATATGCATTACATGCTTTTACAGTAAAAAGAAAGAGAGAAGTTATCAGATACTCTTAAACAGAAGAGATTAGGAAAGAAAACCCGTGAGATTACAATAGCAGTATGTAATTTTACTTGTGTGTTATATAAATAGCTGTTTTTACCACCAAAACAGATCTGTTTATGGAGTATGGCCATTAGAGGTTCTGGAGAAGAGTAACTGTGTGCACTGTTCAAAATACATGCTCTATTTGGACCATCAAAACTGTGTGTGCTACGTCACTTAATAGTTTACCTATGTTATTTAATCCTGTATACAGCCTAGATGAGATGATGTTAAACTTCATGTAGAATCAGAGAATTTACAGGATGGAGTTCATTTATTTCAACCGCCCCTTCTTGGTTTTACCTCTTTCCAGCCAACTCCATGCTGGAACTCCATTATCCAACTCCATTTATCAAGTAGTTCATCACAGATATAGTTGGCTTTGTCATTTTGAAAATAAGACTCCACTCTTAGAGACCATTAGGCTCCTGGATAAATGCCAATTATTGTCTCTCTTACCTTCTCGTCAACAGAACTCTATTTACATGAGTGGATCTTTATTTTGAGAAGGGCTATGGAGCTGCACTTTAAAAAGTGCAGTGGTAAATTGCCTTAGCTAATGGAGAGTAAGTCTGAAAACTGACATCATTAACTTTTGTTTCATTAGAAAGACTTTTACATCCAGCTGACACATTAGTAACAAAGGTATCAGCAAGATCTTTGTAACTGGAGCTTTGTCAGGACAGCCATGACTCCTCCTTGGAAGAGACCTTGGTTTTACCTCTATTGTCTTTTCTTGGTAAATGAACAAAAGGAGATGGACTCAGTTATCGTTGCAGAGAAACACTATTCTGTCAAAAATACAACTAATGACAGACTTGGCATGGAGATGGATTGCTTTGGGAAAGAACACTGCTCTCTAACCTTTGAAAGCAGCCCACTTTATTGTCAAGGGTAAAAAAATAAAATAAAATTTAAAAAAAAAATGCAGAGGTGATCCATGCAGGGACTTCTGATTGCTGATGTAATGCTCTGGGCATTGATGAAGGCTGAAATGTCCAATATGTCCAGATTTTTTTTAGGAGAAACATATCAACCACTTTATTTTGGAAACTTCATAAAGTGAAATCTACAGATTATGTCTCCAAACCTTTCTGTTTAATCTATGTCAAAAACGTTACGGATTTTCCCTATTTAAAGAATTACATTGTTTAAACTTTCATATCCTGGTAAAATGCAACTTCAAAGACATTGTTATATTTGAGTCGAAAGTTTTGATTCAAGGCCCTATCTCAAAGCGTGTGGTGTTACTGAATTAAGTCAGCTAACAAGCACATGTAACAGCCCATAAACATGTAACCCTATAAACTCCTTTCCAGCAGCTCCAATTCACCTCAAACGAAATGCAAAGAAAGTCCTGACATTAATAACCTTATAAACAAATAGCAGCAAAGTCACACAAGTGCTCTATTTTCTGAGCTGAAATACCCTAAAATTTCTTTTCTGTATCTGAATGCAATTATGAGCCATATTTGTGCTAAAAGTGGTGGCCAATAAAACAAAACAAAACTGACATCACAATCAAGGGTATAGAAGGTAAGAAATAGCCAAATTCTGTTCAGCTCTTAAAGACTGGGAGCCAACACTTCAGTCACAGACATCAAATGTCTCATCCAAAAAAAGAACAGTTTTTAAATGCCATCCTGCTACCCACCACATTCTGGTATGTTGTAACTGTAACACAACCCACAGATATAACAGTAAGCTGGTTATCTGGAGAATCGTGCTAAATTTTATGCTCTTTATTATAGCTGTAAAAGTCTGAAGTAAGTCCTCAGATGTGTCAGTACAACATGGAATCCTTTCATCATTTTATTGGGTATTACATCTCAAAACCCTTCAGTGGTAACAAGTAAAGGTAACATAAAACACTGAGCACAATTGAAGTTCATACTGAAAAAGTTACTGCATCTGGAATAGGTGAGGTAACCGTAAAGCACAAGTTCCATCTCTACAAGAGTGGCAAGGCTGAAAGTACAGGGGCACTGACTGCTGTTCCATGCATTTCTCCCAGCTATTCCTAACTTTGCACATGCCAAATTAACAGTTGATAGCACAGTGATCTGATTTCTGAAATAAAACAATGCATTTTGATGATGACCAGTGGACAGTCAAGCTCTCTTGAAATGTGGTATAGTTGTGAGAACGCAAAAAGACACCAAGAGAGTTAGCTAATTTAAAGTTCCACACAGCTCAGGCATTTTAGCAGATATCTATAGTCATGCAAATATGGGAGTTCAATTTCATTTACAATTTATTATTAATTTACATGTTTTAATCACTACTTATCACTGTATTAGTCACATTTTTAATGTGATTTTAGACATGCTTACCATGAGAAGAAATAATCCCCACAAGGAACACTTCAAATATGGAAAGTCATTTCCAGCCACTGAAATTTAGCACACAGGCAGGTACCTACTCCAAAAAGGTAAATGCCCTGTGCCTACACTGCCTGTTAATTAATGCAGCTATGACATCTCTTTAGCCAATGAACAAGCTAAAATGTCATGGTTTGTAAACTACTAGTCAGCACAGAAGATGCATGCAACCAATTTGTGTTTCAGGTCCCAGATAGACTGCTTTTTGCTTGGCAAAACAAAGAACTGTTTGACTGAGGGAGTGACTCACAGTCAGAATCAGGGAACATGACATGAGAAAAGTCTTTGGGAATTGCAGGATCTTTACCCTAGAATGCTCTAGGAAATGCTCTGTCATCTCACCGTTCCCTCATCCTTTCTGTAGTGGCAGCTCTGTATGCTACTTCCGTGAAAAATGTTATAAATTTATCACAATATATGCAATGTATTTGAGCCAGATGTGACAAAAAGTAAACTGAACTCTCCAGCACTTCCTCGATGTGCAAAATTTACCGCTTGCTTGGCTTGCCATCTGGACTGGAAACTAAGCAGAGAATTACAGTAAACCAGCACCTGAAAAGTCTACACTTCTCTAAACATCCTTCATAAAAAAGTTCTCCAAATTCATAGTAAAAAATTTACACATCAATTGACACACATTTCATAGCTGATACTGTGAAAAAAGAAGTCACTGCCAAGATTAAAACTCAAACGCAATGCAAAATCTTATTACACTTCTTAAAGGGAGCAAACCAGTTACTTGAATGAACACTTTAATATGCAGCTATAAAACTTAATATTCTGTCTGCAAAATTTATATATATTTATAAGCTACAAACACATTTTCCTTAGAACTACTTACACAACTTTAATAGAGTTCAATTTTTATTTGTAAATGTGATTTATAAAAGATGCAATTTTAACATCACATTATTACATTTTCCCCAAAGGTTCTAGGCATTAATGCTATTTTCTGTTTAATTATTTTTTTAAATGAAAACAATAATCAGACGTCTCTGTGGTCTACTTTTCGAGCTGACTATCAAAACAATCCTTAAGTCACAGGTTATGCTTTCAATTGTCACAAGCAACTGTGTTGTATCATCTTTCTGTTATGTATCCAATCACATTACAGTGATTTTGTTGCTGTTGTTTGGCCTCCTGATTAGTAACTGCAATGCTCTCACTGAGAGGAGCAGTTTCATTGTTCTTATGGTTACAAACTGTTCTCTGATTTCCAGTTCTTATCCAGTTGTTTATACCATACATTCATTGAACATCTCTTTACTTGCATTTGTTTCTATCCCATGGTTACACTTTCAGGAATAAATCATATTCTTTATTGGCCTTTATTTTTCTCAGCTAATGAGATTCTCCATGTAAACAGAATCTCTATTTCCATCAATTGCCAAGTAGTCCTTCTTAGCATCTGCTCACTGGTCCTGAAAAATGATTATCAGAACTGTACACACTGTTACTAGTACAGTATTTTGCCAGATAATTAATATTTTCCTCTCCCTGTTGGCTATTATTTACCTACTTTACCCTCTAAATACATTTCCCTTTTCCACAGTGCAACGCACTGATGGTTCATAGTCACACTGATCAACTGACATTCCTGGATCTATATCATCATCTGCCACTTGCAGATGATGTGCTTTCACTAATTCTAACAGTGAAATTCCAATAGAGTGTAATGTAGTCCAGATAATCTGATTTCTGTATGTGCAAAGAAACCAGTACTTCTGTTGATTTGCATGTGATTATCAACGTTGGGAATCAGGACAGAAAAAAAATGCAAGCTTGTTGTATGTAAATTATTTCTGATAAGAAGGGTAAGTTTACAAGGATATCAGGTTTGCCAGATAAGACTGGGGACATGCACTGAATCTACACGACCTGAGCATTCAAATCATACAAATGCAAGACAAAATCAGAGCTGAGTCAGGTCATCTGTTTGCAAGCACGCAGATGCTCTTTCATACTTACAAAACAAAGTCCTTCTGCTCTGTTTGCAACCTTCAACCAGAGAAAAATATATTGCACTATCCCTGGAAAATTTTTTCTTACTTTACCTGGTGGCTATGAGTGATGGCGTGTCTACCATTTTAATTCCATAACAAGTTGCTCAACAATCAGATCAGATGTAACACATCAGACTGTTTCTTAATGATATCTGGATATAATTAAAAAGGCTTCCACGTTGAGGAAAGCTGTTATAAGCTTATTTACCAGGCATGGTAAGACATCAAAGTGATAAAATCATACAGAATAAGTTAGGCTGGAAAAGACCCTTAAGATTATCAAGTCCAACCATTACCTTGCACTATCAAGCCTACCTCTAAATGATGTCCCTAAGTGCCACAATCATGCCTCTTAAATACCTTCAGGACAGCAACTTCACCATCTCCCTGGGCAGCCTGTCCCCATACCTAACCATCCCTTACATGAAGAAATTCTTCCTGACATTCAACCTAAACCTCCCCTGGTGTGACATGAGGCTGTTTCCTCATGTCCTATGTCACTTGTCATCTGAGAAAAGAGAATATCCATCTTGTTACAAACTCCTTTCAGGTAGCTGCAGAGAGCAATAAGTCTCCCCTTAGCCTCCAGACTAAACAGTCACAGTTCCTTCAGCCACTCCGCAATGGTCTTGTTTTCCAGGAAGGAATTAAGTGCAAAGTACTCTTCTCCAACATGCCATCCATTTTATCACCTCAGAGCCATGCACTTAAGAAGTATCCACAAAACCCAACCAAATGAAAATAAACCAAAATCCCCCAAAGTATCAATTAATCACATCAGATTATAATGCAGGGACAGAGAAAAATGAAATACAAGTGCCAGACTAATTTATAAAACCACATTGCTTAATTTGCTTCAAAAAGGCAGAGGCACAAAGTAAGAACCTACATCAGAATAGGAAGCACCGTTATGTAAAAGAAGATCCTTGAGATGGCTATTATTTTTTGAAACACTGAAATGTATTAAATGTGAACTAAATATCTACTTAGATACTTCCAAGAAATGTATCCACAAAGGCATCTTATATATTCTTAGTCTCATTCTCATCAATAAAAACAATGCAGCATTTTCCATTTAGGTCTGCTTCCAGTAAAATATCTTAAACTCCATTTACTGTAAGGAAATCTAGTTATATTGAAGTAATAGCAACTGTCATTGTCTTTCAACACCAAATAAGTTTGCCTTGAAATTCTCAGGAAATTTTCAACCTAATAACCCTTCTATAAAACACTAGCAGAAATCATTATAGATTAAAAACAGATACATTTTCATGAAAAGAGAAGTAATACATGTGCGTATTTAATCTAAACATAGTTCAGAACAACGGAATAAAATAATGAGACGTAAAAAGCACTTTATAACTGTTAACATTTCAAGATTTTAAAGCAAAGGAAAATCAAATGAAATGAATAAATGAATCACAAGGGTACAAAATAAAACAGACTAACGTGAATGTTTTTAGTGATGAGTAGTCGATACTCTGAGGGAATTTCTTTTATTAAATTCCACTTCACAGTAACGTGGTCCCATATGCATGTTATAATGGAACAGCACAAGCATTGCTCTCAGCACTAGGACACACTTGACTCTTTCACTTCATCTCCCTTTAGTTGGAAAGGAATTTGTAAATATTACAAAACAAATGATCTTTATGAAGAACAAAGACTTGGCCACTGTTTAGATTTATTGGATTTACTGGGCTGTTCATGATGCCAGAGGAGATGGTAAGGATCTTCACTTCCAGGCAACATGACAGGTCCTTCAGCCATCACCACTGCTTCATACTTCATTAATGGGGAGAGAGACACTAAACAACATAGAGAAACATAATGGCATTAACTGTTACAGAGCTGTCCTAGAAGACTGAGCTCTGGGGGATTCAATTAACTTTTACTACATCTTTTGATCCAGGGATCCTATAAAAGAACGTTCTTCAGTGAGAGCATTCTTCAGTGAGAGCCTTATTTTGGTTATGTTTCTATAATGGTAGATGTCATAATCCAAAATACTAAATCAATACTAAATCAAAAATTCCTACTACATTTCAGGTCTTACAAAATAACATTGTGCTTTTACCTGCCCCCATGATGAGCCCTGGTGCAGTATCCTTCGTATGGACTGTTCCTGACACATATGGATTATCTGCCCAGCGGAGATGGAGGTGAAGGTAGCAATCAGGCTTGTGGGGGAAAAAGAACAGAGGTTGAAAAAAAATAAAATGCTGGTAACAGTTACGCTTATGCGATAATGAAAGCCCACGCAGAGAACAGTTGCACTGACGTATCCCTACAGAGAATGGCTGTTTCCAGTGGAGTCTAGATCAAAACACCACGCTAAGCCATCTAACAAGAGTGTCTCCACAGTCTGACTCTGACAATAAAAAAGAAGTTGGAATGAAATTATTGTATAAAAAATCCATCTGACAGAACTGCTTAAAGTCTCTAGCTAGCAGCAACAGCAATAATTAGAATGTTTGCTGGTCTCAAGTAATTAGGTAAAATGATGATTAATTTAAAAATTAGGTAAAATTTCTTTTTTAGAAAAAAAAATCATAAAAATAGTTTAATGACTTTTGGATGATCACCATCTCTCTTAGCTAAGCAACTTACTGCCTCTTGCACTTAGTGAAGTGGCACTTGGAGGTCATTATTGCTGCTTGCCAGTGGTGCTCAGCAGCTGCTGCTTCTGCTATTCTTCCACTGATCTGAGAGCTCAGATTCAGGACCCATAGGCTTAAGACATATAGCACAGTCTGAAATTTTCAAACAGGAGCCAGCATCTCCAGCCCTCCCCTTTCTACGTGGAGAAGGATTAAATTTCTGCCAGTAGCAGGACTGAAACCATTTATTTTGCCTAGAAATTCAGAGCCTGGAGTCCCCATGAATGGAGAATCACTGACAAAAATATGAAGTTTTTCAGTACAGCGCAAAAAACAAGATATTAGGGGTAGCTAGGACTACAATAACATCAACTTAAAAAAAAAAAAAAAGGACTTTTTGATGCAATTAAATGTGATTTTTATTTCCAAGCAACTGTCAAGAGTTCCTTTAACAGGGTTATCTTGCTTTAAGATGAAATAAAAGTATGAAAGATGGAAACAAAAAAGACATTGGTAAGATGCATCTGATGTGCCTCTTATATCCTGAAACAACTTACTGTTATGATTGTTCTGAATTAGGTTGTGTGGATGACACACAAGAAAAGCTGTCTTCTTTGCATCAAATTAAGCTCTAAAATAAGTAATGCAGAGCGGAGTCATGACTCACTGTACAAGATGACTGGACTAACAGCTAGCTAAATCCCTGCTCATGTCACGCAAGTAGATTTGTGTATTAATTTAACTGGTAATCTCAGCACGAAGCTCCTGGGTTGCCTGCACTGCTACACATACTGTCCATAGAAATAATTCTTTTGCAGTTCAGACAGAGGATGGGAACACTTACAGGTTTGCAGTTGGTAGGTTTTCCATTCATATCAATGTCTGGAGGGTTTAGAAAATCCCAGTCACGGCCTTTGTTGTAGGTTATTAGGGTTGTAACTTTCCCATCAATCTTCTGGTTGGCCAGAAAGACTCCTTTTACACCTCTGACCTGAAGCATAAATGAGAAAAAGTTATTAACCAGCATATACACATTTTTTTGGCAAGGATCATTGCTGATCAGCTGCTCTTTTGTGGCTCTGAACTGCATGCCTCTAGTATTTTCTCCATTATGGAAACGAACAATAGCTTAAAAGAGAAAAAATAAAAATAAAACAAAGTATTAAGAGGAAAAGGACAAAGAGGTAAGATCTCACATCAAATTAGAAAGCTTCATTAAGAGTGTCCCTGTTTACCCTATGATTACTTATGAGGCTTTCTGAATTATTGAAAAATTCTTGAAAACATCTATCTACTCATAGACCATTTCCAGCATAGTATAGATGCCCAATTGTGCAGGTCTGAGCATGAACAGGAATATCTGCCTCTTACTATTTACTTTTTATCAGAAACACTTAGAGTTTCCTCTTTTCTTTTTTTTCCTTTTTTTTTTTTCTTTTTTTTTCCCATTCTTCTCTCCCCCAAATACCACTAACTTCCTTTGATACACATTTTAAAAAAATGTCTGTGCTTAGGCTGAAGAGAAAGCATCCATAGCAGCAGGCTAAAGATTTGATCTCTATCATTCATAAATATATTTCTTTTTCTAAGGAACTGACCAAAGTCTACAGAGATTATATTCTGCTGGTTACAGTAATACCCTAGAACTTGGAAATACATTTAAATCCAGATAATCAAATTTTCCATAACTGTTTTGCTACCCAAAGTTCTCACAAGCTCCTTCCCCCTTAAAACCCATGTACATGTGATTAGCTTACTCTTCCAGGATGCTGGAAGCTCAGCACTGACTCAAGTCAACAGTCAATTGCATCGTAATGCAGGTGATAAGAGTGGAAAAAATAAGGAATGTGCATTCCTAACTATCAAAGCTACTTCAACTTGCTGGGAATTTATTATGCATTCCTTCTTCCAAAGAGAGCATGAACATGAATGCTGAGCAGTTCAAACATGTACTGAGGATGGTAGAGCTGCATTACAATTTCTGTGCATATATTTTTTGTAGTGAATACTATTAAATATTTAAGCAGTAATTAGATCAAGGACTGCAAGGGAGGAATCCCTCTTCTTTGTAGATGGCAAAAACAGTAATACATTGTGAATATTTTTTTCTTCTCTCAGTCTTGTTTAATAAATATCAATCGCTCCATATAATCATACAGTGAGAATCAGACTGAAAAAGTTCTTCATTCCCATTCCCACCCGTAATCCAGCCAAGGGGCTAGGGTAACTTCACCTCTGCAGAATATGGAGTTTGAATCCTATCAGGCACAGAAATATCATGAAAAAAATTTCAGTGTCTCAATTAACTACACCTCACCAATGCTCTAAAAGATAAAAGCTGACCAGCACTTCAGCACTGTTTTGAAAGAAAGGCATAAATTCTACTTGAAATAATGAGTTTCAAGAGGCATCAGTCTTCAGAGAATGTTCAGAAGATTGAGGTTTGGAGTGGTGCATTAGCTAAAAAATAAAATAATAATAATAATAAGCAAATAAAAATAAAAATGGTAACTACACTGCATAAAATTGGCAGCTTTAAAACCTCCCTACCACTGTATAGCACTTTCCAATATATTTGTCTTGTGACCTTTGGAATCTCATATCTGAATTTTCTGTAAATATTTTAAGATCTGTATGTTGAGTTTACCTACTGGATTCAACTGTGACAATGAGACAGACAAATTCTTTGTCACTTTCCACTCCTTGACTTATTTTCCTGGTATAAAAGTGGGACGTTAGTGTCTTTCTACAACAAAGGGAAAAGAGTTGCATAGCAAATAACATGCTGTGCAGAAGAGGACATTTAAACACCAGGGAGTGTTTAAGTGCTCAGCTTCAATCCAGAAGCTACCTAAAATATGAAAGTAGTTTCCTAGAGTAAGACAAGTCAGGGAATTCAAGAACGCTGTTCCTTTGGCTTTCTTTTGATTTTTTTTAGTGTAGCTGTTTTTCCACTTTTTTATTGTGGTTCCTCAGTACTTTCAGAAAGGTCATTTGCACCTTACAAACCTACTGTGTAAACACTTTCGCTGTTGTGGCTTTGTATTCTGTGACAATAATTACTGCACTTTTCTTTTAGTAACAGTTGAACAGTATTTGCTACTAGTGTTCAGATAGGCCCATAGTGTTTATTAGCAGCAGTTACTGAAATACAAAAAAACGCAGTTATATAACAATATGCGATTAAAATTTAAATGCCTAAGAGTCACTGTTTAGGCAAGAAAGTAAGCATGGAGAATATATGCTCCAACTTGTGGAGCTCTTAGTCATATAGGAAACAAAACAGGATCCAGTATAGAAGTAGCACATTTGGGTATCTGTTTTCAAATATGACTGAGTCAAATTTGTGACTGAGTCGTGTCAGCGGCACTTGATACAAATTTCAAAGGCATACTGCTTTTGGAGAGTTAATACTTTTGCCATTCTTTGATGTGAATATCTGGCAATTATTCCCCATCATATTTGCAACGTTAGCAGAAATGAAATACTGTACAAAGAAGACAATGTACATAAGAGAAAATGAAAGCAGACAAGTAAAAGAGCTTATAGTAGATGTACCAGCAAAAGATGAAGTGAAGACAGCAACAGGTAATGAAGAACAACAGTGAAAATGTTAAGAATTACACACTGATGGAAATTGTCAACCACTGAAGATCACCTCTGTGTTAAAGATTTCTGTTCCAATTATGGGATACATGCATAAAAATGTCCACAGCGAAAATCAAAGTACATTAAAAAAAAACAACCCAAAAACACGTTCCCACCGTCTTCAACTTATCTTTATTAGCTATAAAGTGTACATAATCCACTTGCTACTTGCAGATACGAATAGATGATCACTATTTAGTAAAGAAGACAAACACTATATTTATTTTACAAGCTATCTGAAAGCTGCAGGCTTTCTTACCTTAAACAAATAAAATTGCCCTTCTATGATGCAGCCTAATTCCAAAAACAATTCTAAAGATGTAGAACTGTCTTTCAATTACTCTATCATTTGCACATGTTCTTTTTAATGCAACCTTACGAATTAATTCTGTGTACACAATGATCTAGGATCTCTCACTTTTGTTCATTAACACAGTGAAATTCTTAAATTACGAGTGACACTGAATTAAATAAGTAACTGTTGTAGACAAAAGGAGAGTGAGAGTTGGCATCTCCACACAACTGATGTGCTCTAGGTGATGCTGAGAGAAGAGATAGTACCTTAATCTCTTATGGCTTTGCATCCTACAGGAATGACCAAAAGCAATGAGCTGCAAAATACTGTTCCCAGTATATCACCCTGTGGGAATGTGGCACACAATTTACAGCTTTACTCATTAAAGTAGCTCCATTTCTAAATAGGGTCAGCATAGAAAATAATCTGTGCTTAAATTGGTAATTAGTAAATGTTTTACTCTAGCTATTTGAAAAGAAAAAGCTAATCAATGATGAAGAAGATAAAGGAGAAAAAAAATGCTATCATGTTCCCACCAAGAAGAGCCTATTTAGAGCCATTTAGCACCTCTGTAAGTGCAACACTTGTAATCAGAATTACTGCTGACTGTTTCCACAAGAAGGCTGGTACATTTAGGAAGACCTGTTTGTAAAACACAAAACAAAACAAAAACAAAACAAAACAAAACAAAAAAAACAAAACCCAGAAAACTAACACCAGACAAGTTAGAGCATAACGGTGGCCAAAGTGGGTCAGAAGAAAGGTCCATGTTGTTTAACATCCTGTTAATGGTCACTACTATATGCTGTAAGAAAGAACAAAACTGGTGCAAATGTACATCTTGCTTCACATGGAAGTCAGCAGCAGGAAGAATTGAATTGATGACAAGTTTGTGCCTTCCAAAACGCTATACTCTTTATTCATTTATCTCGCGAAACACACGAGAGATAAGATCAAAGATAGAATTGTTCATAAGATAGCATCACATAGCAAACACTGCTGGCACGATACACCCCGTGAAAGCAAGTGAATTTGCTGTCCAGTATTTAATTTTGTTGATTCTTCACTTGTCAGAGGTGACACAAAACCTAGCACAAGGCTCTCGGGTTTATTATTTAAAGATCTACTTGCTAAGAGACTCTAAGTCAGGAAGTGTACCACGGAGAAGAAAAAAAACCATACACAGGCAGCTACATAACTTCCTCCTTTAATAATAAATTGTGCTGTCAGCTCCATTTCTCACATGCAGAAAGCCTTGATCAACTCTGGTTTTGCACATCCCTGTAACATCATATCAATTATCTAGTTCTTAGAGCCCACTGCACACTAGCAGGAAAAGAGAGAAACACATATATAGTATGATGTACTAACAGCAAGAAAGAAATCCTAGCCTTTTTACATTAAAGACAACTGTGAAAATTATTTATATTCATAATCCAAATAAAAGAATGAAAACTCCACCTAGACCACAGACATTGGAAGAACTAAAAGCCTACCTCCAGAATATCTATCAGGACATTTTCTTCTGGCTGCTTCGTGCTCCGGACGTTCTCCAGCAGGATAGAATAGTAAATGCCTTGTGGGTCAGATTGGTACAGATTGTATGTGTCTGTCTGGTACCATTCCTGAACAGCCACAAATACCTGGTTTTCATCTGTACTGATTATCTGTAAATCCTGTAGGAAAAGAAGGTACAAACGACTATTTTTTCCATCATTTAAGTGGCACAAGCAATAGGTCTGCCCAGAAAAGTTGAATACTACCATAGGGAAAAATGCATCAGGAAGCTAGATGACAGTAATTTCCCAAACTAATACTAACTAGCATGCTGCACCCCACCAGTTTGAGGTGGCTGGGCTCTGCCTTCTGGCCTGAGGTCATCAGAGGTATGATCCCACCAGCTCAGTGAAGACCCAAAATCATCAGTGTGTGAAAGTTTTTACAGGAATAATTAAACAAAAAACATTGTTTCTGGCTTTCAACATGAAAACAAATGCTACTAATTCTACCATTTGGATTCATGAATGAAAAGGAAAAAAGAAAAGTGAATGATTTTCCTAGATCTGAATGCAAGTCCATGGAAAACTTGTGAGTTTTGTAACACTGTCACCTAAAAAATAATCCTCAGGTACTCAAACAGCTAAGAAATATTTTGTCCATAACACATAACATAACAAAAAGAGACCCAGCAGTTACGCAGAGGAAGTAGTATATATTGTGCACTGATGCCCAGGGAGGTGGTGGAATCACTGACCCTGGGGGTGTTCAAGGAAAGACTGGATGTTGTGTTGAGGGACATGGTTTAGTAGGAGCTATTGGGAATAGGTGAACGGTTGGACTGGGTGATCTTTTAGGTCTTTTCCAACCTTGGTGATTCTATGATTCTATGATTCTATGATGTCTGTTATACTATGCAACAGTACCTATTGAATTAAATATTCAACAATAATAAAATGAGTCAACATTCTGCATTTTCTCAAGAATCTCAGGCATGAATATTGCAATAGCTTTCTTAACAATTTTCCAGCTCCTTCACTCCAAAGTTCTCAGACAAAAAAACCACACAGATGAGAAAAATAACACTAGTATTAAACAGAAGAAATAAATCAGAAAGCGGCAACACTGAGTTGAGCTTAGCAAACAACAAAAGGGCCTGTGTTTACAACTGGATAAGGTTGCAGAAAGTCAGATGTTGGGGCTACATACAAAGTGACATCTAATCAAGGAGGCAGAAAACTTGTAAATTCTTTATGACATTCTTGGCACTTATTAGGGAGATTGTATGGAGTGCTGGTCACCCGGTAACTGGAAAAAAAATAACTAGGGTGATGGAGTGAATATGAAATAAAGCTAGCAAAAATGTCAAGAGGATATAAGTTTAGGGAAAATAAGCTTTAAAAATGAAGGCTTCAAATTCCGCCTTAAACCACATAATACTGAAGTCACCTTTCCATTTACAGTGTGAGATAGTTGCCCTGAATATCCTGTAAGTAGGAATAGAATTGAAACAGAGTCAGAGAAAACAGTACTTTGTTTTTATGTTTGGTCTTGTGTTTTTTTTTTTTTTTTCCCATGGATATCTAAAAAAAAATTAGTCTTCTGTGATGCCACAGTTTGCAGCAAAGCTATCATTTACATAATTATGCCATGAACAATACTGCAGTGAATGCAGATACTTTTATTTGGCACTGGTGACACCACACCTCAAGTACTCTGTTCAGTTTTGGGTTCCTCACTCTGAGAAAGATATTGAGGCACTGGAGTGTCCAAAGAAGGCAATAAAGAATGACCTTAGAGGTCATTCCCACATACAGGTGGGAGGCAGTGGCTGCAGGGGTACCAGTTGCTGACTGACAGCCTGGTTGCCATCCTCATATCTCAAACAGTGTTAGGAGCTGCAGGTCCAGTGGAAGAAATGCATCCAAAGCTAAAATGTGTGGTAAAGATGAATTTTGTAAAGTCTGGAAAGACTGGGTGAAAGAGTGGTTTGGCTGGAGTACCTTACTGCAATAAATGCAGTCATATGGCTGTGACTCTTACCAAGAAACAAATATACAGTCAGACTTTTTGATGCCCTCTTTCTATCAGGGAACAACTTAACAAGTCCTGGTTTTAGCAAGAAAAATTGTCTTTCCGCTTCCTTGAACTTCGTTCCTTTCATCTAGCATTTACACTTTCAGATTTCCAGTGCAGCCTTACTGCTATTTCTTTTCGCAGTGATTTCTTGTTCCCTCAGGAAGCAGAGCAGTCCTTCAGTTACAGTACTTTGCATTAATCCTGCACCACACTTTCTACCCACAGTCTTGATACAATTCTCTGGGAAAATTAATTGACAAAAGTAAGGAAAATTGTGAATTTCATGTCTGATTCTTCAACATCCCTTAAAATCTCGAATGACAGACTCTTTAAAGTCTAGCTGAAACAAAATAAGACTGTCATGTCACTCTTTTACTATTCCTTTTGCTGGAATGCTGAATTTAAAAGGAAGAAACTGATGGACAAACACAGCATCTGAGTCTTCAGTGTGCCACCTCCAACCCATCAGCCCAACTGCCCACTGCACATGACAATGAGAAGTCAGAAAGTTTTGCTAGGCTGAACTTACTGTCCAGGGCACTTTAGTAAGGAAAATATAAAAGAAACTCAAAATTACTGTTTTTCTAATCTTACAATTCATGTCAGAATTCCACCCCCTGCCCTACGGACATTTAATGGTTAGGCTGCGTGAGACATTAACCTAAGCAAGTGAAAAATTAAACAGAGAATCACAAGGAAGGAATTTATAACAAGTGCAACAGAAATAAGCACTCAGAGCTGTGTAGTCTCAGACTTGACCTCCAGATGCACCACATTTATACCCCTATAATCTCTTAAGTACAACCAAGGTAACAGGATGGCACATATCCCGAAGATAATCTTCCTAATCTTCCTTGCCTGGCTGAGTAAAACGGTGCAAGGCGAGAAATCAATAACAAGCTACACTGTGAAGAAAAGAAGAGTTCCTTGAATCCACCTCCGATGGATTTGTACAACTTGAAGCCATTCAGATCGATGGCTGCTACAGCAGAGATTCACTTGCTGGTGCCATGACACCTCCTGGGAAACAAATACTATCACTGCATCAAATACCACCACTACCCACATTTCTATTTTGTTTCTCTTTATTTTACATTTGATAGACACTCCAAAATCACTTCAGAAGGATGGAGATGCAGCTGCACACTGCTCTGTTGCTTGGCATGGAGAAACAGCCTCCCTTGGGCATAGGGGCTGCCCAAGTGGCAAAACAAGTCCTGGGGGATAAACCAGTTGCTAAATGAGCTCTCTCAGACCCAAGACTTAGTAATTCAACCATAACACAGCCACAGCTTCAAGACAGTTTTGCCTGCTGGCAAAAAGGCTGCACGAATCTTTCCTGCCGTTTCTGCTATTAATGAATGGATCCATTTAAAGGTATATTCTTAAAACAGTAATGAAAAGGGAGCTTGACAGAGCAGGGAATACACGCTTCAACAGACTGATAGCTATTTAGGGAGAAGGAGGAAAAACAGCTCAAAAATTTTTACTCTTGATAGCATTACATCTATTACTGAATGACACAGAAGTTTGAAAGAAAACCCGTGATTAACATAGTGATGTATGTCCCAGAATGAGTCAAGACACAGGCCTGTTTAGTGCCCTTTAGACCACTAGGTGTTAATCAAGTAAACAGAATATATTCAGTTAGCAAAAAGGGCGTATAGAAAATTCATGTTACCATGAATACATTAAAGACATTCAGTTATTTCAAAAGTAATAGGATTTTATTATTTTGTTTTTATTTATTCCCTGTAATCTCTCTTTAATCTTGGCTACCCCAAAAAAAATTTTAGTACCTATCTCACATAATATAATATGATAGAAAAGACATACAGAGATCAAGATAAATGAAATATGCTTCTTTCACTCCATATCCTTGCAGAACTATTTACTTTCTGAATTGCAGTAGGATATAATTGCTCCATTGTTAAGTTTTTGTAGGCACCATGAACAAATACAATAACAATAAATGCCTTCTTTCAGATCATAAAAGGAGATCATATCAATAGAGTTTATTTTCCAGAGGTGGGTTGGGGACTCAGAATAATTAATTACAAACTGCAAGAGTAAAAGTTTACATGACTTGTAGCAGATTTCTTGGTTTAGTCAGTGTTTTTGGCTAACACAAGAATAAAGTAGTTCCCACTTCCAGTGTTAGTCATATTAAGGCACAACTTAACATCACAGAATCATAAGGGTTAGAAGGAACCTCTGGAGAGCCCAACTCCCTGCTAACATAGGTTCCCTACCAATAGGTAGGTTGAGCAGGAAAGCATCCAGGCAGGTCTTGAGTATCTCCAAAAAAGGAGATAATATAATAAACACGGATCAGAAACCAACGCGCTACTCCTGCAAAGCACACTCCCCTAGGCAAGGGCAATCATTGCTGAAGGGATTTTCGTGCAAGACAAGTGTGGTGGTTGGTGGGGCTGCACCCAGCACCCCTCAGCAGAACCACCCTGCCAGAGGTAGCAGTTAAAGCCCTGCTCCAGGCTGAAAACAGCTCAATCTGAATTGCTGAAACTCTTGGGACCTCTCTAGAATTCCCTGGGACAGATCCTCACGGCCAGCACATGACTCCTGCAAAGTACAGGAGACAGCGGCGTGATTCAGTGTGGTGTCACTATCCAACATGCTACAGAAAATCCCTCAAAAGCAGCTAAAAAAACCCTGATTTCTGTTCATTAGACGACTACCAACAGCTCTGTTCCGTACATACATAGGTACTACTGTTACAAAAAAGCAGCCTGAAGTGGCACAGTGGACCTGGAGACAGAAAGAAAGAACAAATTAAATGAAGTTTAGAAAATGTGAGACTTGGCTGACGGCTGGTTCTATCAGTCTTTGATAGATGAGTAAGGAGGCCTTGAGATACAGTGCTTTCATCCTTTTCTCTTTTTTCTTTTGGGGCTATGTTTGGAAAAATTCAAACATAAATGCAAATATAAGCAACATAAAAAATAAAAATAAAAAAAAAAAGGAATAATTTTCTGCAGATCTTCAACCTCGTCATATCAAAAGAAAACAAAAACATCAACATTGTTAAATTACTCCGTTTGAAAATGCTCCTTCTATCTCCATAATAAAATTACTGTAAAATGTGTCTGTGCTGCACAAGAACAATATCAGAGAAGTCCAGCAGTATTCCCTCAGGTGAGAGCCTGGGGCTCCAGAGGGGGCTCTTCTGATGATTTCAGACAAATCCTTGACCATCCTGTAGTACTCTTTGACTTGTGTACAGTTTTCCCTTCCCTATGGACACTGACTGCTCCATCTCCGGGCAGGTACATGCCATATCACAGATACCATTTGGAAGATGATTTTTTGAAGTCTCATGTGTCAGTGTTTTTGCTGATATCCTGCTCCTTTGCAAAATTTCTCCCATAATTTGCTCATATTTATCTTTCCCCTTCTGCCCAGATTGGACCAAAACACATTTTTGTTGCACTCTCACTGAAATACCATGGGATAAAAAATTTCAGAGCTGCTCTATTTTCTGTAGTAACCAACATTTCTGCTGATCTCTAAAGAGATAGCAAATCACTTTAAAAAATGTATCTTTTACAGAAAATGTTAAAATCTCTCACATTCATTGCTGCTCTAATTGATGTCTGGCTTCCAGGCCCTCTTAGTGAAATTTTCAGCTCTGTTGTGAGCAGATACCAAAGAAACTTCTCTTGAAGGCATCATCAAAATGCTAAAGATATACAGAATATTTCGTTCCACTCATCGGGTACAGCCTCAACTAGGAACAACATAAAAACATTTTTTTCCAAATGAAACAGTCAATCTGTTCCTAGCTAGCCCCTGACTCTTTCCAAAATGGAACTGTTAACTTCTAATTTATTTACTCAGCCAAGCCTCTAGTTAACCTCCTTAGAAGGAAAAAAGAATAGACAAATAAACATAAACGATACTGGCAAGGACAAAGAATTCAGTATTCAGGGTTATTTCAAACAATCTAGACTACATAAGACAGAAACAGCAGTGAGTTATGGCTGACACTTTTTGAATGTGTCAGAAATGCATTCAGTAAGATCACATGTCCAGTAAACTAATCATCTTTTACAGACTAATGGATTTGAAGGCTAAAATTGAGGATTAGATCTCTTAGAGTTTGCTCTTCGTTTTTTTTCCAACTATTATTTCTGCACAACATGACATGCAGGAGGAGCAAATCCCCCTGAAGAGCATTTAGATACAATTTTAAAATTTCAATATCTAGAATTTCTGTCACTTTTCTTGGCACTTTTTCAAATACTTATCACCAACACTAATAAGAAATTGAGCAGAGTTTCTAATTTGAACAAGGCTGGCTTCAGTTACCATTTATGGGTCCGTCTTTCTCTTCTACAGCACTTTCAAGTCTATTAAGTACTTTCTCAAAACAAGGAGGCTTCTTCACAATAATCAAGCTGCCTCTTGACCTTCCTTTCTGAAAGATAATTTATACTTTTTTTTCTAAGACTATTTTTTATTCAGATCATTGATCTCAGTGATATTTTCTGTAGATTGACCCCCCAAATACAACAGAGGCCATAGTGAACTGTAATGAATGAGTGGAGAGGGATCTTTTAAACTGGTTTTAAAGCGAACGAAAGCTCCATCGGAGAGTGATCTAGATCCCTCACTCTTTATCTCTAGCCCTTCAACAAAATCTACTGATGTTCTTCACAATAACAGAAACTAACCCATTACGAACATGATGCCTACAGGAACCAGAAAATAGTCTTATTTAGTTGTGGAGAAATGCCTGGCTCCTTTGCACAATATGTCTGCCCTTCCATTTCCAAACAAAAAATGGTTTTACAACACGAGCTAACATAGGCAACACTTGCACTGTTGTGCTGTTAGTTCTTCAGGAATTTGGACAAAACATTCTGATTGAGAGAATTTTAACTGTTTTAATGTACTGACAATTAGTATGTAATTTTAATTATTTACTTGGGTATTCAGAAATAAGAAAACATGAACACTTAAACACTGATGTAAACACCCTTCCTTTCCAGTATGAGATCAATTGAACACCTCTTTTCTTTGTTTCCACACTCTTTGTTTCTATTTTATGTTCATTCAACCCCTCCTGACTACTTCAGAGAGGCAATAGGCTGTGAATGAGTGGAAGTTGGGGTCATCTGCCAGAGGAGTTCCTTCTTTTTCTTTCCTTGTTTATTCCACTCTTCTATTGCTCCTTGCTCCTTTTGCCCTGGTGCAGGTCATCCACCCATAAGCTGCAGGCACTTGAGGTCCCTGCCCCCAACAGAAGTTGCTGGTGGTCTGTAATCCATCAGACTGCCCACATTTGGAACATTTTAACATTTACATCTGGATATCCCCCTGTTGTTTTCCTAATTACAAATTCCCCCAAGAAAGCATAAAAGGGTACACTGAAGGCCTTGAAACATTGAAGTAATTATGTGGGAGGGCTGATATATTTACCTGTCCTTGACTATCCATTGCCTGTCAAAATAAATAAATAAATCAATAAATTGCTATCTGCGTAATGCTGCTGGGAATGTAGCCAAATCTCAGATTCATGTCTAAATAATATCTGTGGATTTTAGTTGAGAGTTTTGTTAATATGCTGTATACTTAAAAGCAGAAGTATTCAGACCACTGCTTAGTTAAAAAAATATATAATTATTTGTTTTGCAAGAGTAGCAACAAAGCAAGGAAATAAACTGTACTGCATTGTCCTTAACTGCTTGGTCAGTGAATTAAACTAGTGCATTTCAAGATATGCACAGATGGTACTTCCTAGTTCTCTAATATGTAAAGCAATGGAATCACACAAAACCACCTAAAATATAACATTAGGAGGTCTGTAGAATAAATCCCTGCTAGAGGCAGGGTGAAGTGGGAGGCCAGACCACGTTACTTGGGTTTTATCCACTGGGTCTACAAAAGCTGCTAAGTCATTTTTCTTCAGACGCCTTCTAAGTATACAGAAAAACACGAAACATATTGTGTGCAGCACAAAATTTCAATTGCAACATTCAGACTGCATAGAAATATCTGTCTGTGCTTTACTGCTATGTGCAAATATAAAAATATTCTAGATTTAGGGAAACTCTCAAAAAAACTCTGCCATTCTTTTCAGTAATTAAAGTTCATATGGGGGATTTCTTAATGAAATAGAGCATCATCAGCTGCTGAAACTCTCTTATATTATACTTATACCAAAAAACACCACATGGAATTAAATTGCAATTCATTCCTGAAAGAACACTGGCATTGTACTGCTATTGGGTGTGTAGCACTGCTTCAAAGAGCTCAGAAACTACTGTGGTAACTGATGACATATAGGCCAGCCTATGTTCTTGCCCTCTATGGTTAGAGCTACTACTTCCCCACACGAAACATAAAAACAGTAGGGTAAGAATATACCACAAATCAGAAATCCACTACAACGAGAAATTATCGTCTTAAATCATTGAGGTTTAAGAAAGAAATGAGTAAAGCTAGTTTAGGTGGAAAGAGAAGAATAAAAATACAGAAGTAGGAAGAAAAATGTGTGCACTTACTTTTGGCAAGGCATATTTTGGCAACTTCATCTGCACAAAGCCATTTCGACGATAGGATACATAATACTTGGTCCGATTTGCTGATGTTGTCTATATAAAGGAAAAACAGAATTGTTTGGTAGTTGATGGTTCATATTAGAAATTTTTATTACTATTTTTTTAAGCAAGGAACTGAAATATATAGCTATTACTTCTACTGTATTGGATTATCTTGCACAGTGTGCTTACAAAAGAATATATCTGAAGTTGTGGGAAAATAGCATACTCAAACTTGTCTCCCTCTCTTTAGAAAGAAGAAAGTAATTTCCTTCCTTCTTTTTGTCAGTCCATCTGCTATGAGGGATACCTGAGATGTCACTATCTCACTGGCCTTGTCCTTTTTAACTTATTTACACTTTCATCCTTCAGCCTCCCACGTTTCTGCCCTTTTGTGGAAATCCCCTGCAGCAGACAGGAGGCAAGAAGGTGGTACAGTGACTGTGAACCACCCTCAAGGGCAAGTGATTTGCCAGCAACACTACTCAAATAAGCATAAAAGACTGAATAAGCCATGCTAACATTATATAAAGCATTCATTATGTTTGGCTAATATTTGCCTTGCAGGATGAGACATTTCCCACTGCAAGATGCTAACATGCAGTACAGAAGACAATGATGCAATTCCCACATCTTCAGTCAGCCAGTTTGAAAATCAATTACATGTCCTGAAGATACAATTCTACGCTTAAACACAGAGGTAAGACATATTTCAACTGCTTTCTTGTATAGAACTGAAGACAAATTACGTTTCCTATCTGGGATTTTATGAAGATTTTCACCTAAGAAAGCCAACAGAATTGCACACTGAAAAACACACCAGCAAATGACTTTCTCCACTTTGTAATAGGCAATATAGAGGTAATATTAAGACTTTTGCATAAGTCCTAAAAAAAACAATACAAACATTGTTCTGATGCACCGTGCTGAAAATACTCAGTAGCACTGTAGCCAGAAATGAATGCCAAAATGCTGTATGACAAAACCACCAGGGGGAAAAATATTCTTATGGCAGTTTTTCACTTGCTCTACAAATATGGATACTGCCTTGCTCAAGCAGACAAATGAGATTTTACTGAGACAGAAAAATAGAGGAGATAACAGTTTAAGAGACTCTTCATTTGTTTTCACTTCAACCTCCTAAGTAAGTCATATCAGAGCAAAGGAAGGAAATAAATGGAGCAAGCTGATGGTTAAATGAAAGGCAGCAATTCAATGTCATTTATGAAAAAACCTTAAAAATTAATCTAATTCAAGGAAGATACATGTCAAATGAAGGTTCACTGTGGCTTCCATAATACTAAAAGGAGATTAAAAAAAAAAAAAAATCAAGGTTTTGCAGTTAACTGCTTGGTAAAGCTCCTAATTAAATCAAATGGTGTTTGCCACATTGAACACAGTATTTGGCAGTACGTTATCACATTCTTGAAGTATGTGTTTATAAAATGAACCTGATTTGGAGAACAGCCTATCCCAAAGCAAGTAAGCTTGAATTTTTTTTATTTTTTTTTTTCTCCAAATAGAGCTGATGCATGATAGCAGGCCCATTTGCTTTAATATTTAAAAATATCTAATATCTAATATCATCATTTTACTGTTTTTTTAAACCAGTCTTTTTTATTGGTAGAAAGGATGTGATGCCCTTTAAGAGTATGATTTGTTAAGTGATGGATTAAAGCAAAAAGTTCACCATTTATTTAATTAGTGTTAAATATCAGTCTTATCCATCTTACAGTACCCTCCTTTTTCATTATGCATTTATCTTATGTGACTAATTTTAAATGACAAGGGATGATGGAAAGCAGCAGAGGACTAGAGTTGAAGGAGCTAGTTGTGCCAAGCCTTGCTGACATTAAAGGCTTGTCTGTCTTACAAATAGTCTCAAAATTTTAATCAACCTGCTAAAATCACCTCTAAAACTGCCTGGCTGTCAGTGCAAACTAAAGAAAGCAGTGAGTGCCAGAAAGCTCTTGATCTTCACGGATATAGACATACCAAAGACATTGGGTTGAGTACTTGGTTAAAGCCTGTGAACAGGAACAGGACTGGTCCTGCAGACTGCCTTGCTCTGGTTCACGGCTGCCAGTTGGGGTGGATGAGTGACACTTGAGGCAACACTATAATCTCAGGCTCTCCTCTTTCTACACAGATGACTGACCATCTTTTTTTCTGACAGATACTGCTATGATATCAAGAGCAGTCCCTGGTCTGATTCTTACTTACATTGCAATGTTTTAGCCTAGTGAAAAATGAACTTTCATGTGGCTTCAGAAGTATGCTGTTTCTCAGATGCACAACTGCTGTGTGGTTTCAGTGGCAAAGCTAAAAGCGATGTACTGCACCATACCTCAAAGGTGGCTGCATTTCAGATGTGACTAAAAGATCGCAGAGATATCTTCTGTTCCTCGGTAATATAGATGTGGTTAACTGTGAGCCAGCTAAGCAACAAGCAAGATTTATAGTGCATACTGTGATGTACTGCAATAAGTCTAAAAGGAAAGGACTAGAGATGTTCCCCCTTTGTGTTTACATCTTCTACTGGCATTAAGACCTCAAAGCTACAGAGACCATTTTACCAGTGGCATAGTTTTGCAAAAGCAACTGTCCAGTATTTAATGCACACATTTCCAAGTTGCACCTCCATTTCTTCTTTGCCCAGACTCATTACATGACAGAATAACAGCAGCTCCGGATGCAATTATACAAGATATCTGGCAACATACATATGCTTGAGGAAGAAGCAGTCTTTTTTTTGCTGAGCACAGCAATCTGTAACTATATGTGGTGAGATGCAATTCTCACCATCTACAAACTGTGAAATGGATTTTAGAGTGGGCTTGGTGGGAGTCGCAGATAATAATACCTTTGAGAAAAATTGGTGCCATGAATGCAAGATTTGAGCTGAAAAATGCCCACTTGAATTCAAAAATTCTTTTCTAACTCCATTTCACTCCTTTGTAGTGCTAAATGTTTTAAGTTGTGTGGGTCTTTGAAGTTGCTGCGCTGACCTAAAGGTGTACAAATCTTTTGTCTCATTATCAATTGACAAATCCTTTCGGAAGAAACAGCCATAAGGGGAAAGCTGTAGAAAAGTCAGTCTAATGTACACCAAGGTAGTGGTGTGTGTATTGATTGACACTGTACTGCCTTCCTGCAAGAGTCAAGAAACAGACAAGCAAATCATACCCAAGTAAGAGATATATCATAGCCAGTCACTGAGAAAGGTACACACAGCCTCCCTAAGAAAATATTAAAAATCAGGTAGAACATAACCTTTCTTTGAGAAGTTCTCAGCTCTGGCAGATTCAAACCCCAGACAGTCCCAAGCACGATACTTTCGGCTCCGCTCAAGCTGCACTTGGTTGGTGCAATAAAGTCAACAGAGCTCCAAACTAGGTTTGTGCAGGCAATGTTGTTTAGTATCATAGAATCATTGAAGTCAGAAAAGAGCACTAAGATCATCTAGTCCAACCATCAATCCATCACCATCATGTGCACTAATCATGTCTCTCAGTGTCATATCTCCATGTTTCCTGAACATCTCTCCAGGGACTCTATCACCTGCCTGGACAGCCTTTTACAATACCTCACCACTCCTGAGAAGAAATTTTTCCTAATATCTAATCTGATGCCAGAAATTACATTATTTGAAAATTGAATAACCCCAGCATAATTCCATCACAAATTGTTTTCAAGCTATGGCTGTTCCTTCCTTTTGGATCCTAAGCACAGTCATATAGCTTATTTCCCAACAACATGTCTTCACAGGATAATCGACTGTGATTCTGTGACATGGAAAAGCGGACCTGCTGCTCTGCTAGTGGCTTTCCTTTGAAGCTGTTCTCAGGGAACCTTTACGTGCTACAGAGATATGGAAGGGACCCACAAGACAGTGTAAGCATAAGCCCTGGAGAGATGTATTCTGCCTAACAAACAACAGTTTTTTAAAAAGTAATTTTAAACTAGATAATCCTCCTGAAAAATGCTGTCTAATTAAAGCTAGGTCAATGAGGAATTAAAATCAACTGGGTATGTAGTCAACTGGCTGCACAAATTAAAACTTTTTTTTTTTTTTTTTTTTTTGACTGATAAAGAACAGCTTTGTTCCATGTAATAAATCATAACTCATCACTCATACTCTGGAACAGGATTCTCCATGCTCTTTTCCATCACAGCGCTATTGTCTAAAATTGTATTTCTGAATTTTAAAATGGACTGTCTCCCCAGAAAGCGGCATTACCTGAAGGAATATGTAGTCATCCTGCACAGTCAGGGAATCCCGATCAGTGACACCAGCAAACTGGACTGTCATTGTCTTATCAGAACAATTCTGAATCTGGCAAGTGATGTAGCGATAACCTGAGGGAAGAGACAGAAACACATGACATGGCTTTCAAGGAAGAAAGATGAAAGCAGTATAAAATGCTATTCATGTAGAGATAGTGCTGCCTTTGCCAGTCGATTTAGTTGCAAAATTATTATATTAAGCCCTCATACAAGCGTTTTTCAATCTCCAGTGTACTGAGAATACATTAACTGCTTACAGTTCAGATCATTCGTGGGAGGAAGGCTGTCATTATCCAAATTTTGCTGGTCCAGAGAGATTAGGAATTAGATGAATGAGACATTCATGGCTGGGGATAATAGAAGGAGCCTCTTTTCTCAGTTAACCTATGCACAGAGCAAAATTACTCCTTTAAAGAAGCAGCATCCTTACACAGTGTAACTGAAATCAATAGATCAGTCTCAGTATAAAATTGTGATAAGTGAGAAGAGAATCAGACACAGTTTAATAGACAGGGTATGGGATTTTAAAGGCTATTTTCAAAGCTGTGTAGAAAAGCCAACACACAGTATTGGAACTGTGCTGCTGGGGCAGGACTTCTATAGTGTGAGTTAATACCTTCCTGAAAAAGCCTGCAGTGATTTATATCAGTGAAGGCTATGTCCTCTCTCTTCCTGTCCAGCTAGGTGCAAGCTGCATCTTTTATGCAATCTGCTCTCATTGAACAGCAAGAGAAGAGTCAGGATCTTATTTTACAACAGCTGCAGCCCAATGACCTTCTTCCAGATTCAAGCACGTGTACAGCTCACCCATGCCACAAGCCTCTGAGTAGAAACTACGACTTTAACAAACTCAGTGAGAAAATGGTTATGTGCATGATCTTGTGCTCAGGCTACTGATTTCTCCACGCTCCAGTGTGAAAGAGTAAATAAATACATCCACATGCACATCCTTCATTATTTTTGTAATGTGGTAGGAAATGCATTTCATGTATTATGGCTTTTTATTGGAAAAGGTCAAACCAGCGTGCTCAACACAAATATCTGTTTTAAAATCTGGATCTGTTTAAAAGGCAGCTAGAGTCAATTCAAGTTCTATTCCTTATTTCCAAGTCCTCTTCATAAGCATATTTGAGCAACTACAGCAAGGCACAATCACAGTCTTGCAGCTCTTTGTAGTTCACAGGACAAACATAGTTGCACAAGATACTCTCTCCACTAAAATCAATGGCAATGCTTGTATTGATCTTAAGTGCACAAGGTTGATTAATTGAGAACTTCAGGAAATAAATATTTCATGAGTTTTATCTTGCTCTACTGTTTCTATTAAATTAAAATAAGTAAATATATGCATAAATTCCATGAAGCTCCTAAACAAACTTCTTACACTCTATCCACACAAAGCAATTGATGGGGCTGTGGAGGCTCAGCAAGTCTGAGAATCCTCACTCACAAAAGGTTTAGAAAATTTGTCATCAAGATTTTAATACGTTAACTCTGTCTTTTTATATGGCTGAAATGAAGACAAGGTACTGGATTGAGGAAAGTCAAATTATGCATCATTTACAACTAATTTATAAGACCACACAGGAATTTAGATGACCTGATTCAAGGAATTAAATCATCTTTCAAGAGTTCATTGGCAATGAAAACTCATACAACTTTTGGAATCATGGTGACTTCTTAGTACAGCACATCCTGACTGCTATTCTGTTTTTTTCATTTATTTTGCTTTTGAAGTCTCAAAGTATAGTGGATGCTGTAACATGAGGAAATTCTGGGAGACAGTGGTTAGTTCAGTAGGACTGCCATATGTAACGATCCACTTTAACAGACACTTATCCAGCACTAATGCTACATTGCCAGTTTTATTTGCAAATCAGGAAAAAATGTTCAATGTTTAACTGCCAAAACAAATTTCACTATTAATGGACATTTTCAACGGAGCATAGCATCTTGACGTCAATTCGTCTCAGAGTGGAAAAAAAGTAAATTTCAAATTAAACTACATTTTTATATAACAAGACAGCTTTAGCTTTACTGACTACAGATAAACAGAGAAAGAATCTGATTTCCACTTCTTCTAACAACATCAACAACAAAAAAAAAAAAAAAAAAAAAAAATATGAAAAAAAAAAAAAACGCAAAAGAAGCCCCCAAAACAAAAGAGAAATGACTATACACTGGGGAATCAATTGATAATGTTTTTATTTGCATACCTCCACTGGGGTCCTGAATTTCCATATGAACTAAATCAGGGTCTCCATCAACTCCAGCAACGGCCCTAAGAACATAATGAAATCAAGTTATGCAGAGCCAGTTACAGAATAGTAATTATGTGGATGGAAGAAAAGAGAGGATTTCATACTAACTAGCTTTAACATTCTAACTGGGAAATCAAAATAAGCTCCAGTAAAAATGTCATATTACAAACATTAGATGGAAACCATTTTGACCATTTTGTCTGTATTTGATACTACATTTTTCTTCTTAAATTTCTTTCAAATTTCCCTTACTAAAATACACATACAAGTAGGATCCCAATATCAATTGGAGAAAATAACAGAAACAGTATGAAATTGGAAACAAAACTTTATAATCATAAATTTATCTATAAATAAGCACAGAGATGCACGTTTATTGGAAAGCTTTAGAGCATCTTGTTACAATTACCTTTGACGTTTGAGAATATAAGGCAGATACTGGGCTAGAAAATATGTGGATTTCATTCTAATTAGAAATGTCATGCATTTGACACACGCTTTCCATAACTAATTGACACATCTTTGCTAAGTATATTCAAGAGAAGAGCAAATTCTGCTTTGATAAAGGAGGAAAATGAAGAATACTTTGGAGAAGGATATCCCAAGAAGGAAATTCAGTCAGAACTGATCAAGGCACAGTTTAACACTGAAAAGGTGTACCGATTATACTGGCTGATTTTCTCTCAATATCTCCCATGTTAAATACGCTCAGACAAAGGATGAATTCTCTGCCCTCAGGGCTCCCATCCCAACCTAAGAACAGCAGCCACAGCTGTGGCTTAATCTGGACATTACGTTGTCATTAGTCAGGCAGTTTCTACAGAGAAAGCTTTGAGCTGACAGTCATGCAAAACAAAGCAGAATCTGGCGCAATGGAAGAGCCCATCGTGCCAGTAGATGTGATCTGCAGACATGTAAAAGGACTGCATTAAGCAACAAAGTGTAGGTGGATGCAGATATTAAAAAAGTCCATTATATTATTCAGAGAAAAATGATTGTTTTGATACAATTATTAATAATCAAATGCATTAAGGCTATGTTTCACACTGAAATTACATCACTGTTTAATGATTTTAATAACTGATTTATGAGAAGTGGAGAAAACTCAGACACAGTAATTGGTGGCTCCTTGGGAATGCAGACCAGGGGGAAGAGACTGGATGATTTCCACTGCTGCATAACAACCAGAAATAATCACATTGTCATTTTTCCCTAATAAGATAAATGACCAGTCTGAAGAAGGAAAGGGAGGAAGAACAAGAAGGTTCTGCCAAGCCATAAGATGTGAAAGAAACTTCCAGTGGGAATTATTTAGCAGTTGTATGGAAAAGTCCTGCACTCACAAAGAAATAATCTCAGAAACAAAACCTATTATAGCATTTTGGAGACAACACATTAAATCAGAAAAGACATTATATTCTTTTTGATCTAATAAGAGTATATCTGAACAGAAGGATCGGTGGGCTACTTTTCTCAGTGTACACTGTCTATTTCTTCTAGATGATCACGTCAGATCAAACCTGCTATCTCTTCTGCAGTCAAATCTTTGAAGGAAGAAAATGATATTTGCTGAATATCTTTTGTTCATGCAGCTGAATTACAAACTAAAAGAAACTTAAGGGCTGAAATTTTTCAAGGCTCAGCCTGACATACAGACTGGCATCAATAATGCAGAAGTAATTTGATGGTACTTGTTAAACTACCTCTTCTATCTCTAATTCATCACACATAAGCACGGTTTGAGATATTTGTCAATACCTTCAGCTTTTCACACTTCTTTCAAAAGTGACAACGATCTCATCCCTACCATATTCCTCCTAACAATGGCAGCTGGCACAAGTGATGCCTAATCTCATTTCCAATGCAGTCTTGTAGTGCACGAGTTTGCAACTGATCTGTGTCAATGAATACTGCACATACAGAGAACATGACAGCCTCCAACCCAGATTTACTTATCTCCTTTGGATTTTTATTTCAGTGGATGTGGGAAAAGAAACCACAAGGCAAGTGATTCTTAGCTCAGACAGGAAAAAGTAATATCTCCTTCACTCTGAAGTTCTGACACTTCCCTTATAATCCCTGTTGAAACTATCCTTCATTGAACCAGAGAACCATTACTTCCAGAGGGTAAATTCCTCTCTTCTGAAACCAGCTGGATCACCTCCTGTGATGTCCACTGACTATATAGAAGGGTCAGGGTGACAACTCCATGCTGCAGTTTGACAAGTATTTCTGCTCAGTGTTCTACCAGCCTAACCTGTTCCTGTTCTGAATCCTCAGCATTGCTTCTTCTTCACTGCCTCTGATGTCCCCCTGAGCTAACCATGTCCCAGTGCTGGGAACTGTCTAATTTAAAGGTAGCCCTGCAAAGATGGAAGCCACAGCACTCTCTCTCTCTCTATGTCATTAAGCTATACCCATGGATATCTAGTTTTAGATATGTCTAGTGGGTGAGATGTACTCTCTAAGTGGAAAGTTTATCCAGAATAAATGAACCGATTTGTTTTTCAAAGTCAGCTTTTGTGTTTTATATTACTACAACTACACAGATAAGATGCAACTCCTCAAGCTGTTTACTCACCGAAGATATTAAACACACAAAGTATGCTTTTATATATCTGCTATAAAACAGTTTGGAACTCTGAAATCCTTTCACCCAATTTCACAGATTCTTTGCAATAGTCCTTTCTTCCTCTATTTAAAAAAAAAAAAAGGACACCATTATGATCCCGATAATATATCAGTTCTTCCTTGTTTGTTGAGTTCCACCATCAAATTCTCTTTTCAAATAGGAATTTAAGTTTTTAGTACAAGAAGCACTTTCTTGGGAACTATTTTTCTCCATGTCAGCAGGGTTTTTGGTTTGGTTAGAATTCACTCCCTTTTCTTCTCACAGTAGTTTGCAACTAAGGTTTTAAAATCTCAGCAGTCTAAGACCATTTTGTTTGTTTGCTTTATGTGGTAAAAGAGGGCTTGCCACTAAATTTGGAATCTTCAGCTTTAAGTTGTTTCCATGTTTTACACTAAACACTTAAAAAGTCCAATGAAAAGAAGCAGATTAATTTTAGACCAGAAAAGTGTTCCTTTAGAAATGAAATATCTCTTAACAAGTATACTGTGCTGGATAAAGCAAGTGCAACATGTCAGCACTTCCAATTGCATAATACTATGGTTACAACACTTCAGAAGGAAAATAGCCTGACTCGATTGCAGGGTGGTGCAAATATAGGCAGCCTCAATATGCTTTTTCCCTTTCCTGTGAATACAAGTTCTCATCACCTCCCGTGTGCTAGCACCAGTGCCTGTCTGACACCATGTTGAGCCTCTTGGGAAAGATAATTCATCAGAATGTAATTTGGGGACTGTTTTTCCATTTCTGAAACCATCTGATCATGCAGCCAGACATTCATGTTTTGTGAAGCACTGATGTGAAGGTGCAGGCATGATGTACATCCAACCACAGTGGAGTGGACTAACAAGGTCTCTGCATCTGCCTTTGTCTGCCTAGGAATATATACTCTGTGATACAGCCATTAGATATTTTTAATTTTTAAATAATAATGCTAAAATTCTAAGAACAAAAAATTTAGAGTTTTATGTTGAGAATGTCAGTTAACAGACATTCAGCATTATTTTAATAAACTCCTATTTTATTTGGCTACCTCTCTTCCTCCCAGACTACCCCAGTAATTTCTTATTCCAGTTGCATGCAATATTAGAAGAACACCAATGCCTGCCTAGAATTTCAGATTTATGTAGTAATATGAATAAAATTTACCACTGATGTGTAACACACATCTCAAAATGTGAATCATAAGCATTAATCTCTTATATGACAACTATGATTTTGTATTTTACTTCTGCAGTCTGGCCTCATTTTGTAGGGAAACAGCTGTTGAAAACACTGACCATCTAGAGTCTCCTCTGCGTCCACTAGGTCTCTTCACTGTTAAATATTCAATCCAGTTCACTTGAATGCATAATAATGAAGGGATATCTTCCAATACACCACATGAAAAGAAAACCAAATCAATACAAACCTGCTTGCTGATGTGGCTCAGTTTCCAAACAAAGGCCGTCTAAATACTTGCAAGTGTCCTCTATCTGCACCCTTTATAATCCCTTAATATGAACTTTATCCAAAAGGTAGAAAGTTCCAAGTTTGCACTGATTGATTTCTAGTATTTCACATCAGAATTCTTGCTTAGAAAACAAGTTGAAAGCACATAGATGCTTTCTCTGAGTAACATAATACAGAGTTGACTCTTGGCAACCTAATTACTCGGAGACAAAGCTACAACTTGATTTATACAAACTGAAGTCATTCAGTTGTGACAGATTTATGTTTCAGGCCTTATGTTCTTCATATCTGCTTTGAATCATGCAGTTGCAATGACTCAGTCGATACCTTACACAGTCAATGTTTGCTACTTCTTATTTCCTCCCTATTTCTAAATACTTTTTAATAAAAAAACATTATTTCTGCCACTCTTATGTGACTACCACTGCCAGCCCCATCACCAGACAGATAGAAATAGGAACGAATATTGTCCTAAGTGATTAAGTCAAACATAAGAATGATTGCCCATGCAGATCCCTGGCTTCTCACACTAGGGCCTTTCACACAAAATTCAACATTAAAGCTCAATGGAATCCTCTTTCCATTTCTCTCCTTTGGGGCATAACACCTCGAAAACCCACTCTTTCACCTGACACTTAAATAGGCAGGAACTTGCTGCACTTGACATTAATGGCTACAGCTATGACTGATTGCTCATGTGGGATTTCACGATAAGAACAGAACTTCATCTCCAGAGAACAGCTGCCCTACCCAAATACGCTCATTTTTTATTTTTATGTTTGCACCTCACATGAAAATGGAGAACCAATATCTAAAAATAAGAGTGACAGATACAGCACAGGATCCACATGCTCCATTTCTAAGGCTCCAGACAAAATGTCAGTGAAAACATGCTTGACCTAATTCTCTAGAAATTACTGATTCAAGACTTACTGTCCTGGGGTATATTTGTGTTGGCATAGACAGCTGATTCACAATCTATGCTTCGCTTATGTATTTCTATGCTCTGTTCTGACTGGTGCATAATCCTCGGAGACCAAAAAGAGTTGCAGAAGAGCCAGAAGAATCCCAAATTGCAGAATTCTTTCTTCTTCTGGACCATTACAACATAATTTACTTTTTTTTTTTTTTTTTTTTAGGAATAGTTTCAACATATAAAACCAATTACATACCATATGACATGTGGGTGTTCAATGTTTTGCTGGGACAGCTTATAGAATTCTATTTCTAGAGTTCTCTGCATTCTCTCTGACAGACATATAAGAACTGACCAAAGTACTTCCAAGTGTTAGGCACTATCAACACCACTTCAATAGAAATTTCCACATTACAGCAACAGTTGGTGATAGTTTGAATGCAGCAGTAAAACTGGTCATGGTAACAAAAATTTTCTTAATTTTCAAGCAGAAGAATTTTATCAAAATTCAAACTTTTCACATAATAAAACTTTCAGCTAGTACTTACGAAGAAATAACCATTTTAGAAGTGTTTATACAAAATGAAGTATTTTGTTTTTAATTGCACTGATACTAAACAGAATTTTTGAACTTAATTTCAAATCCATGTCATGACTTTCCCTTGAAAAATTTAAGCAAGCTTCTCAATGAACAATGTCAGAGCATTTGTTTTCAGTACTTCCACATGGAAGCTTACTTAAAAAAAAGTGTTTTTTTAATTTCATTTTTCCTTATATTTTGATTTTTCCTTTCAACTTTCCAAACAAAGAAAAAGAAATAAATGTCTAGAATACATAAGTTTTACAGCCATCTTTACATCTATTTGCAGACTCTCTAGCCCTTTTTTTTCTTTTTTTGCCTGCTAAGTTGCTAAGGGAAGTAAAACTTCTGTGAAGGATTAGTCAACTTTCTTGTCCAAAAACACAAATGAAATAAATTGGGAAAACAGCTGAGAAGGGGGAAAAATATGCCACACTAAATCACAGATGGATGAAAATATTCTGTGCTGCTAAAACAGAAATGATAGCATACACTTTCCTGTGATATCAATAATCTTTCCATTAGGGTCCACTATAATGAAAGACCAAATTCCATACGTTAAATCTGTAAAAACACTTAATGGAAAGACTAGAATGCTTGAAAAGCAAATAAAGCCTAGAAGATTATTTAAATATATTGCTTATAAACCTACAGTATAAGATCTGAACATAAATAGTTTAAACTACTCAGTCCCCACTGACCTTCCCAGAATATAAATACACAAGACATTACATTAAATTCATTGCATTTAGATTTTCAGTGGGTAAAAAAAGTGCTTCTTCAGGAAATGCAGGAAGATCCGACTGCTGCTGGAGGCACAGGAGCAGGAAATTGTTTTTGAAAAGCACAGGAAAATATTTTGTTGGATATTTGTAGTTACCAGGCGAAATAAAAATCCTGGGCTATCCCGTCAACCTCTATATTGTGGAAAAGCTTAGTGGATACTAAAGAAGAAAACAAAATGGGCTCACCACAACCAGCCATTATCAGCAAGACACATGCCGTAATTCGTAGAGAGATAAGAAATTAATTTTAATTCATTTCACATACCTTTAATGTAGCAGATGCTACATATTCATAGAATCATAGAATGGTTTGGTTTAGAAGGGACCACTAAGATCATGTAGTTCCAACCCCCGCTGCTATAGGTAGAGATACCTCCCTCTAGACCAGGTTACTCAAAGTCCCATCCAGCCTGGCCTTGAATGCCTCCAGGGAGGGGGCATCCACCTCACTGGACAACCTGTTCCAGTGTCTCACCACTCTCACAGTGAAGGATTTCTTCCTAATACCTAGTCTAAATCTACCCTCTTCCAATTTAAAATCATTTCCCCTTGTCCTGCTGCTACATGCCCTTCTAACAAGTCTCTTCAACTTTCCTGTAGGCTAAATTTTATGTGTACTCTATAGTCACATTTTTCATCAGTTTCCCTAAGTTTATATACGACTCCAGTTAAAAGGTCTGATTCAACCTTTCTTTAAAAAATGTTATAGATTTTTCTCTGCGAAAAGACTGTTCTCCTCTCTAAAGATCAATTTTACCACTAAAACAAAAAGCAATTTCATTGGACATTACAGTTCTCTTTAATCTTTGGCTCCATAGATCCAGACCTGTAACCCCTATATACACTGACACTCAGCACAGTCACTGCTGAGTACGAATTTGCAATAGCGGATGCAGCAATGCTGACATACTGAATTTGCAAAAGACATGAAGGGTCCTGCTGTTGTTATCAGCACCTCTGGAAATATCCTTCTTGATTAGAATGAAATATATTTCCTGTCCATTTTTTAATCTGGAAGGTAACAGTTTTCTTACCAAAAAATATGATCTTTTGAAACATGTTCCTGAAGAAGGACCCATTTTTTCCCCAAGTCAGTGGATACATAAACCTACAAAACAAAACAAGAAAAATCAGATGAGAGGAAACTTAATGATGTACATCTTAAAGAGAGGTCTATGTCACTATTAAAATGATTGCATATGAATAAAAAAATAATTTCCAGGAACTCTCCACAACGATTTTCACAGTAATGCCTTTTCACAGAGAAAATCTTTTGAAACACAATATACAAAGAATGAAACTTGGTGATAATATCTACTTGTTTACCATGAAAATAATTCATAATCAATTTCAGATCAGATTCTTTTTGATACGAGCAAAGTTACAAAAGAGAGAGGGTACAAGGACACTTATATTCTCCTTTCCATCCACTGACAAAACAAACAAATGCTTATTTTATTTTTCAATCTTTAATTCTACTAAACACACTTAAGACAGGAAGTCACTAGATTAAAAACTCTGCTAAAATAGGACCAAATAGAATAGAAATTCTATGGAGATTTGATAAGGAAAGGTGAGAAATGGTCACTAAGTAAAGGCAGCAGTTCCCTCTGAAGACTTCTCCAACTCATCCCTGCAAATACTAGCAATATGGACAGGTATCAACAGAGTAGACATGAAAGCAGTTTTTTCCCTGCATAAAATGGGAGATAAAGCAGTTATTTAAGAATCTTCTTTCTTTATTTTCTTCACATTATCTCATAATGTGTTTCCTCTGCTTAAATTAGCAAACACCTACCATACTTCTATAAAGACATGCTTAGAGCCCCCTGCTGTCTACATGCATTTCTTATTTAATCCAATTTACATCTGATAGGCTTTCTTTTAATATCTCTAACACGGAAAAAATGCAAGTAAAATTGCTCTATTTTGATGTGGCAATAATTCACCAGTTCAGTCACCAACTGTTAGGGAGAGTCATATGAGGATTAGTAAAAAAATGCTTGTTTTAAAATTACAAGTTCAGTGATAAATGTAAAAAATTGCAATGAATAAATCTTTACTAGAGAAAAATAGCTATATCACTATGTAAAACCTTAGATAACTTCCCTCAACATAAACTCCATGGGTAAATTTACTTAAATTTGAGTTAGAACTAAAACATCCTCTTCCCTACTTACTCTGTACTTAACAATTACTGGGCTTTACTCCACTGCACAATCAGTTAAAGCAGGCAAATCACAGCTGTGGTAAGAAACTATGGTCAGGACTCTGACTGCTTACAATAATATTGACCTAGTTGATGCATAGACAAAAACCAGTTTGGTTCGGTGTAGTGAAAAGACCTTACAGTCTGACTGAAAGAGAGAATGAAATAAGAATAAGAAGGCATATTCAAAACCAAGATAGATTTTTAACTGATATACTATTCAAAATAAATAAAAAATAATGCATACCTAACCTTAGCACACATTCAGCTTCTTTGAAATGAAAAAAAAGATCCATGTGGGCTTTGCTTTATAGTAGGTGCACACGATAAAATTGACAAATAAGTTTATAGACAAGGTGGAAACAGTGACCAGCTAAAATCTCTGGCTTCAGAAAATACTTCTAATAGATGCTTCTTATTGCTCACTTCATAGATGTAAGGAATCACTTTTAAAAGAAATTGAAAATCATAGAATCATAGAATGGCTTGGGGAAAATGTACCCCTAAGTTTTCCCACCCTTACAGACTCTTAGTGAACAATTAAAATCCACCATATCTCTGTTGAGTCTTAAAAATCAAAAAGAATTTATCGAGACTCAGTGAACAGCTGATTGTTATTCATTATAACTGAGATAGCCAGAAAAAAGGAGTATAGATTTGAGGCAGTAAATGGATTAGTCCAACTACATTGACTAGATTTGCATTCATTTATAGTGTCAGCCAGAGGCTAGAGCTGTATTTAAATAAAATCTAGGGTTCTGAATGAAAGAACAATGCTGATATTGCAATAGAGAATAAGAAGTAAATCAAATCAGAAGCTGTGAGACAGGCTGCGATGCTCCAGTAGACAGAGAAGATTCGATGACTGCTGTTTACAAAGGATACAATCCCATGTTCCTGGTACGTCTGCAAAGAGCCTTTGCAAGAAATCATTTGAGTAACAGGAGAGAATGGATTCTAGTGAGTTTTAGATCGTGTCATTGTTTGATATGATTTTATTTCATTGAAAATAGTATTAGTTAACTCAAAAATCCAAAGTATACAATCTCCCCAGGTCAAATTCAGATTAACACCCTCTCTGGATATCTTTGGTTTTAGTACACTGACTTTGTGTCAAGCCACAATTCTGATTTTCAGATCCTCCTTTGCCAAGATCACTTCATCTTCCTCTTTCTGCTAGGCCAAATACGTCAGATCTTATACAAAGGACCTTATACAACTGGGCAGGTTATTTGTACAGTTATAGTCAACGGCACCCTTCGTTCTTGTACATCTCAGGTAAAGATGTAGGGATTGTCCAGTACGTCCTTATGGTTGACTCTCTTCAGTGTCATACCAAAACCCTGGGAGAAGTCTATTAGATTAACTAAAATGTTCCTGCTACTACTGAAAAGTTATTCTTTATTGACTGCTCTGTATTTTTTTGTCCGGTTGTGTTTTAACGTGGCAAGTAATACTATCACTACTTTGGGAGGCTATCCATGTATAAAATGCCTGAAAACTTCCATATCACATGTAATTTCTCAAAACACAAAGGAAATGCCTTGCTTTGAGCTCCTAATCCCTTCACTTTTCTGGCAAATATTTTTATTGACTGGTTGTGTGTGGATGGTCAATGTTCTCCATCACACTATGACACTTAAAAAATCTGCCACTTCATTTTTTGAGTCATTTGATCTCATATCTAAACAAAACTCAGGGATTATGTCAATCATCAGAAACAAAAGTCAAACTGAAAATGGCACTTTTCATAACATTGGCTTTTCACAACTTGTAGCTTTCCTGAGGCATGTTGTTCACATAACAGGTATTCATCACGTTTGTAATGGCTAATTGTGTTATGAGTTAGAATTCAAGCTGGTAAATAAAACACTCCACGAGACAAGAGACTGTGTTTGGTTTGTTAATCTTTTTCATACTGTCTCCATCCTTACTTGCAAATACCTGTGAACACAAACTGGGGATCAGCTATTAACTTAAATACCCCTGAAAATATCCCCAATACAATATATCATATCATATAGCATGTCATATAATATGATATAATGTAACTGAAGTCAGTGCAGCAGTTGGCTGCAACAACTTAGTCATAGTAATCTCACCAACTATATATAAACCCTTTGTGATCTCTGACAAGGACTGAAATGGACTGGAGTTTGTCTCATTTTGGCTTAAAAAAGGAGTTACAGTAAAGGTGAGGCAACAGCACTATCAGAACCAGAACAGCAGTGACTTTAAAGCTGTAGTTTGGGCACTGTGAAAAAGAGATGAATGACACTTTTTACAGAGTGTGTGCTCACTCACTGGTGTTTAGTGGTACCCACCCAGAGAGATGATTTTATAATACAGCCAGAAAAAAAAAAAAAAAAGATGGCCAAAATGCATAAACTATATAATACAACTACTGAATGTATTATAAATATATCATGAGAGAGAACTATTCTACGTTTCTACAGATTTGGTGATTCCCTAAGTACTCTTCTGCTGTATGATTGAACAGTTTATTTTATTTTACATCCCATGAAAGGCCTTTGAAGGCAGTATTTCAGCTTCATTAACTTTCTACTATGTTATAAATTAATGAGCAGTTGCTTATGGTCATTTTCTAGGGAGAGGTGCATTTCAGAGGCAGCATTTATTATACAGAAGGATAAATAGTACCAATAACCATATCAATTGAAAATGACAGGATTGAAACTACCACAAAGCAAAAAATTTGACATGAATGAAGTAAGTATTCAAATAAGCTTCTCAAACACTGAATATGGCTTCTTTCTGAATAACTGCTTTCATAAACCCCAACATTCAGCAGCACAATGCAAAAGTTTCATATCCTTTTAATGACACAGCTGCTAAACTTCAAACAGAATATGTTCATGGCTTACCTTGCCTTCCTTTGTGTAAGCAAGTACTTTGTCTTCTTCTTTTGGGTGGAAGAGGAGAGTTTCCACAAAGAAAGTAATGGGTTGTTTCTGGAACGTAGCTCCTTCATCTGTGCTTATGAAAAGGCTTTGGTCACGGTCATTATGGGAAGAACTTACAAGAATGATCTAAAAGACAACAACAACAACACATTCACTTAGAAGACTGTTTTCTCTGAAACAGAAAGAAACCCTATTCATTTTTTCTTGTGTTAAATGTCAGAATTTGTGCATACAAACGGCCGGAAACTGCAGCATAGGAAGTTCCACACAAATGTGCGCAAGAACTTCTTTACAGTGAGGTGACGGAGCACTGGAACAGGCTGCCCAGGGAGGTGGTGGAGTCTCCTTCTCTGGAGATGTTCAAGACCTGCCTGGATGCCTACCTGTGCAACCTGGTGCAGGGAACCTGCTTTGGCAGGGGGGTTGGACTCGATGATCTATGGAGGTCCCTTCCAACCCCTACGATTCTGTGATTCTGTGATACCCCGTCTTTCAAACTTGTGTGGAAAAAAATCCTAAAAGGTATCTAAGACATCATCCTATTAATCTTCCCTGTCCAAATCTATGAATGTGAAAATCATAGAAAGGCTTAGGTTGGAAGGGACCTCAAGAATCATGAATCTCCAACCACTCCGGCGCAGGCAGAGCCACCAACCTTCACATTTAATACTAGATCAGGCTGCCCAGGACTCCATCCAACCTGGCCTTCAACACCCTCAGGGACGGGGCATCCACAACCTCTCTGGGCATCACCTCACCACTCTCTTGGTAAAGAGCTTCCCCCTGATATGCAACCTAAATCTTCCCTCCTTCAAAATCTATAACTTCCCTTGCAAATTGCACCAAACTGATCACAATCCTCATCTGTACTCGGAGTGACAGCCTTAGATTTTGGTCCTCATGCAAGGTTCATGATGCCACATGAGAAAATCCTGAGATAACCTAAAAGGAGTTAAAACTAATAATGACTCATTTTAACATATTCATATAGATACATCATCTCTTCTAGCGAGGCTGCATTCATAAATACTAAATGTAAAAATCTAATCACTGCTATAGTTATATCAGAATATTCACCATGAGGACGAACTAATTTCTAGTATCTAATATCTAATATCTAGTATCTAATATCTAATATCTAGCTTCAAGTCCTGCTGAAACTCTTTGAGTAGAAAGATATTTCTTTTTTTTTTTTTTTTCCTTTTTGTTATTTCTCTGTACTTTGATGCAGAAAAGTAAGTAACTCGGTTATTTGCATTTCTTTCTTATGTCCAGATAATACCTTAACTCAAACATACTAATAGCTTGAGCTCTTCTCTTGTTTGAACATCCTATCAGGCTTTCAGTAACAAAGAAATTCTCTCACATAATCAGAATTACACTCTTCTCATTTTCTTCACTTTTTGCAGTTCACTAACATGTCATAGCATAGTTAAAAAATGCCAATATGAGTACTCATTTTTATTGCTTTTCTAGACCAAATAGGCCCAGCTTGCAAGCAAAAAGGTGCCTTTACACACTGGTAGCCCAAAAACAAAAACAAAATAAAGATTTTCAAAATGCCAGCTGGCTTCTATTTAGCTCACTCTGCAAAAACAATAAAAAAAATAACAATCTTACAATCAAAACATATTTTAAATACTCAGCAAATGTTGCAGAAGACGCCACAGAATCCTAAGCACTGCATTATGGTCAACGTAAATTGTTAAGAGATAAATGGCAACCAGTCACGCAAACAGCATTAGAACAATATGAATACAAGGAAGTAAATATATTAGAAGAAATGAGAAGAAATGGTACAATTTTTATGTAGTCTTTTTTTTTTTTTTTTTTTTTTAAGTAAAGCCTTAGTCCAAAAAATTAAAATTTCTAATGATTTGCACAGATATGACAGCTGGTCTGGGCTTTACCACTATTAGTCTTGGGGGAAAAAGTGAATACTTAAGAATGTGCACTTGTACTTGAAACACATGCACAGTTTCACAAATTGCTGCATAATTTTTATATATCTCAAATGAAGCACATATTGAAATACATTGCTGAAGAAGACTTACACATATATTTCATCCACATCAAAACCCCATCCTATAACATTAAGCCATTAAACCATATATTTATTAAGCCATATCTGTGGTGATTAGCTGTGCTACTAGGATATTAATCTTTCTAGGATTTTCTATATTTTTAATTATGACTTTACCCAAAAGTATGAAGATGTCTTTTTTATTGTTTGGCCTCTATAAATGACACCTTCACAAGTGCCATCCAGAATGTGCATGGCTTTCTTTATCCTGGGTAAACCCTTCAGACAATGTATGTTTAATCTACTAGTACATATAATCTAAGGATATGGCTCACAAACCAGGTACACAACTGAAAGATTCCTTTAATATCTTCATTCAGCAGTTCTCTGCAGGAGACCTGACACCAGACTAAAATTGAATGTGGTTATAGTGTGCTTCCCTTCCTCTTTACTCGCATCACAACATTGAGAAAAGTACCTGTGCTCATCGTGGAGACTTGTACTTTCCTTGTTACATTGCTAACTGCAGCTTAGGCTTCAAACATCTTATTTTCCTTAGAAATAAAGGAATTCAAACAACCTGCATTCTACCTGAGATACTTAATGTTCAAACCTGCTGGCTAATAATGAGATTACAGAAAGAAACACCTGGTCTTGTGTGAAAGGGCCAAGCAAATTCCACATGCAATGCTGCAATGAGATCTCAACAAATCCTGATGAAGCTCCTGCCCAGGTACGTCCTTGAATGTTAATATGTAGACTGTGCACAAGGCTGGTCATGAGATTCATGCTTAGCATGCAGTGTGTGTGAGTTCTTCCATGCTGCATCACTAGAAGCAGCGTTAATTCTTTATAGAAAGCTTAATTCTTTGGAATACATTTGGATACTGTCTTCTAGTCCAAATAATTTCCAGAAATGTCATTATCTACATTCCCTTCTATTTATGTCTTTAAATATGTACATATACAACTAAGACAAATTAAGTACAGAAAAGGTACTTGAAGAGAAGGGTAGTCTTGCCTACGGTTTGAAACTCCTGCTATCTTTTTTCAGCGCAGTAAATCTTATAAGAATACCAAAATATTGACTTCCAAATAATAAAGGAACTAATTTTATAAAGTTGAGTCGTTGTCACTGTTGATGAACCTTGTGTGTAGGCACACCTGCTTCTCACCCACAGTAAGGACCCAGAAAACAGCTTTTCAGAGAACATTATTCTGGAGATGTAAGTCTGAAGAAAAATGTCAGATATAATGAAATGCAAACACGCTGTGAGATTTGCTAATGCTGTCCTTAAAAATATATATTATGCATCTTTCAGAGTTAAATCTGAGAGAAAAAAAATGTAGCTTGAAGACTGTAGACATTTAAGCATACACAAGAGAGTCCCTAACCATACTCTTATCCACACACATATCATAATTCATTTAATGAAATATTTTTGAATTTCATTCAGTGCTCTGATTTATATTTCCATAGTTTAAACCGATGATTTTGTGCCAGGCATACAGATTTGCTCCCCACAGCTAACACACAGGGAGTTCAGACTTGCCTGCTGGCTAGCACTACTTACTGAGGAAAATATTCCAGAACAAATATTGTCCCCACATTAAATGCTTTCCACAACAAGTATTATTTACTTTGTAAACACAAAAAATACCAAAACTTTCCTACTAGCAACAGATGAAGGGATGCAACTAGGACATACTATCTGGAGAGCTGGCTTAAAGTGATTGCTGATGGTTTTAACTCAGAATAAACAACTACTTGCTTGAATAATTTAGTATCCAAAAACCAGAACAGATTTTAATCACATCTAAACTTCACCTAAGCTTCTTTTAGACTGTGCTTTTTAAGTAGCATTTCTCCCTCTTTGTCAACGTCTTAATATTTTTTTAGAAAAATTGTAGCTTAATGTTATGCTGTTTATCCCTGACCTCACTTCTTAATTTCTCATCAGCTGCTAAATAAACCACAGTAATATGCGGGTTATACATCTAGATCAAGTGTATACCTACAACTTCCAATAGATAAGTGAAGGTAAAAGAATATTTCAAGGTAAAAACATATCCCATAGATTACCAAGAAAGTCAATAAAAAGAAGCTATGATATACATCAACATGAAGGAGGGCAAAAGAGATTTCTAATAAAAATGAAAAACTGTACACCATGTCAGTATAGGAATTAAAGCATTCCAAAAAAATAAAGAAAAGCTATGTTTTTTCTTGTTTCAGGAAGTTAGTGACATAGTTAGGAAATATAAAAGCTATATAAATCTGAAAATAATGTGATTAAACCCACTTCTATTTAATCTCTCTTTCAGGATTGATTGGCCAATGTGTATTGTCTACCTGTTCTCTCTGCTGAGTAGAATCACATCCTGAACCCCAAAGGAGAAAAAGATGCTGACAGCTAAGGCTACCGTAGTCTGGGCATCATACTTCTTCCCACTATTACCACAAAAACTTGGAATAATCACAGTGATTACCATGGAGTCTTAACTATAGACTTGGCAGCAATTCAAAGCTGTGCTGTAATTTCAAGTGGCAATAAACATAGGATATTAACATGCATCATTTGCACCATTTCTGAAATATAATCCTCCTCCCCTAAGCTTAGGTCCAATAAAAATGTAAGCTGAAGATAAATTTGATCTTAATCAGCACTTTCTCTGAAACAAGGCATTCTTCTAACATATTACAGTTTTGCTGTCTTCTTCAGCTTTGGCAACTGATCTCATATAATTATAGATTTTATTATCCTTTGCTTTTTTCTAATATTAAAAAAAAAAAAAAGAAAAAGAAAAAGAAAATCCAGAAGTCCAGCAGGATGAAATTTCTAGACTTGTATCATCAGACTTGCCACAGGAGAATTCTGCAGTAAGTGATAAGATAGGTGATAAATACCATTTTTTAAATTATGTAATCCTGTATATGATCTGAAATCAAGACACTCCATATTAACTCTAAACTGAACTTGGAAAAAGAAATATAACTCAGGATGAGTAAGAAACTGAAATAAAGAAACTGTTCATTTAAGGCTATTCTGTTCATTTAACAGCTATTCAAGAGGTGCTAGGCACAACCTGGAAGCACCTGCAT